GGCTGAGCCATCCCATCCAATTAATTCCAACTAATTCAACCCACTGTTCCCGCCTTCTCCATCGTTGGATTTTTCTCCGCGTTAAACGTTGAATGTCTATTTTCCCAGTTGTCTCGTGTTCAGCTTTGAGGATTATGTGGTTAAGGCCCAATGCCACTACAGGTCTACTCAAACACGCTCACTAGATTTCCGTTGTCGCAGATGTTTCTGCGCTAACTATTGGTAAAGACCTGCTACAATATCATAATCTATCATCGACACGTGCAAACGGAGTTTAGTAGATGATTTAGTGGCCCATGGATCTGACTCCATTTAGATCGTACGAATGTTCGTTAGCACCTATCCTCGTACACAATTATCGACTCAAATTATGTTAGTCAATAACTGAATTTAGATAAGTCAATTAACGGGAATGGCCTTTGAATACATTTTATTTGAATATAAAGTGATTGCGATAGAACAAAGCAAAATGCCGCTCAGGGAGATGGCTGGGAAGCCAACTCTTTTTCAGCCAGGCGTTATTCAATATTTATAGGCAGACAAAATAAACTACATACATGTGATGAGACATGGGATATGAAGTGTACACATATGTACGCTCATATAAAAAACAGTCAAGACTTATAAGCGAATAATTGACAAGGTCAAAATATGACTCAAGTAGAATGAATAGATTGGGCTGTCCAAAAACTAGAATAAGATATATTATGGGCTTAAAACAATGACTGACACTACAATGACAATGCTAAATTATCTGTTCGAGTAACTTTATTTTCTGTCTTTAAATTGTCCCGTCTCTGTTTAGCACATAATCGACCCATACTATCAAAGGATATTCAAAAAGTACTCCGAACTGTACCAAACGCGACCAAAATTACCGCGTGTAAGCGAAAATGTTGCACAACACATCACGACTACAGGAATATAAAAATAATCCATTAATTTCATGCCGCACGCGGAGGTAAAAATAAATTCCCCTAAGCGTGTATGAAGCCACTATATTTTGTACTTTTTTCGTGAGTTATGCACAAAATAGCAATATACAACTTTAAGACATTCTCCCAAAGCTTACTATTCAACCCATTAAGTAAAAAATAAATTAGCCATGTGCAGAAGAAATCATCAATCAGCACAAATACCTTAAATTTTCATGCTTCGATTTTTTCAGTGAACGTTTTACCTTCCTATCTTGTGACAAATATAGTTCTAAAGTTGCACAATCGCTTCAGCTGAGTAGAATAAAGGTGATAAATAGGCTATCAGGACATAATCTGGGCGATCCCGTCGACTAAAAATGTTACACGTGGCTGTGTTTTCAGTTGTCAAGTCTCTGAATATGACACACATTGTTCACATGACAATAGGCCCAGAACAATACAATATGAAATTAGAACAGGTAGCGGTACTGAATGTAGTATACATTGTAGAAATCATCTGTTATGTCCAAAATATGCTCTAGTAGCAAAAAATGAACTGGATTTACTTGTCACTGTCACTTATAAACACCAGCAATTGTATTAGAATAAAAATAAAACTGACAATAGAATAACCAGTAATTGCATTGTAGTGAAATGATGACAGGACTACATTAGACTAGTCAAATCTGCATTGCGTGGAAAAATCGATACAGACTGTCCGTGGTGTCAATTAGTCAGAGCGTCTCAAGTATTTATAAATCAATATAATAAGGGGATATAGTCAATACATAGGTAGACTGACAACCAAACAAAGGAACACTGGAGGAATTCTCATAAAAGGGTATTCAAATCAATCATACAATAGAGCACAATTACCCAATAGAATTGAGCTAATGCATTTGACAGTTACATGCTCAGTTAGATATCGTATTTTAAAATGAATATACAATTATGTTCATTAAACATGTCTGTATTCATTAAAATACTAACTTATTTTAGTATCAGTATGGAGATTTGTGGAAATTGTAGTACTTAAACAGCTGAATTCACGAGTCGATCAATACTAAACTACCACTGAAAACCTGGAAGCACTGAAGAACGGTTTCATCTTCAAATTGTACTGATACGAATATGCGGGAAGATTAGCTAACAACTAACGATGAATCTGGTTTCTTTAGAGTATGGTAATACAGTTTAAGAAATACTTATTGAACAGTCATTTTGTATAAAAAAATTTCATCACAGTCCCAATTAAAATTCGCGCATTCACGACAAATACTACTTAAATTGAATAATTTCAGTTTTAGATAGGGATAATCCTGAGTATCTATTATGACAGATCAAGTTAAATAAACAGTGCGAACCTCATCATTTTGCAATTGTAAAAAGGACGAAATTTTGAAGATTTTTATTATAGGCTAACTGAATTATACGTTAGTATTTGGCTTATTTTGCCTAAAACGGGCTATTTTATATTTTGGTGTGGGTTACTTATATCTACATAAGTAGTGTATAACAGTGGTCAGGCATAGAATGTATTGCAGCAGAAGATCGATAAGGAAAGAACGGAAACGGAACGCAATTGGTATGAAATTGCATGAGCAATGAAATCTGAGACAATGGACTGATATTTGTAAAAGAAATAGTGAAGTTTGAGACGATGGACTGATATTTTGCAAATTAACTATCTAATATATGGTTCTCAGATTTTATTGAGATGCTCTGAGATGTCGTGCCAAATCCATTCGAATGTCCCCACTGGTGTTCTGTTCACTACAATATTACTCTCAGTTGAGCGACTTTTATTCTTGTGTATTATTGTTCTACATTCACTAATGAAAATCTTATACTGTCGTCTAGTAAATATCTTCATCTAAGATGGTGGTTGAAGGTAGTTGATTGAAAACCCTAAACTCAAGTTTCCTCCTACATGACACTTGTCAGACAGGTGTGACTATAGTTTTGAGGAAATTGATGGTACCTGGCGAACTCAGTCAAATGCCACCCAGCTTCGTAATAATAGACATTACCGTTGGGCTATTCAGGACTGAGACATATTGACAGTTGATTGATCATTGAGTAATGACCTATGTAATAATATTGGTCACTACTCAATGGTCTGTGAATTGTAAAATATTTTCATTTTATGATATCCGCATTTTGTGTCCTGTTGATAGATTAAAGCTTTCTATGCTCAAATTTTAAGAGTTTCGAACCATATACCGACTTTTTGGTCAGTGATTTTCAATATTATCACAGGCGTCATCTGTCATTATTTAAAGCATTATATATTGTAATAACAGTAAGTATTTAGTATGCTTAGCTGAAATTATTAATTTATTTGGGCACATCCATCTTGGTGCGAGGGTGCACCAAATACATATGCGCCACAAAAATCGCATTTGATTTGTGTGAGGGCTGGGATACTGCGTAAGTGCCCAAACCGAAGCAGATGGTTTTCTTAGGGAGCTACACCCGGAGCATTTGACCTAAAGGTCTGATCCACAAGGAAGTGGAACATAGTGAGATGTAGTCCCATGGCGGTCGGTGAACAACGATTGGTTCGTAAGCCATTTGTTCTCTCACGATACTGGAGACGATGTGCACCATTGGTTTGTAATCAGGGTTTTCCAACTCCCCTAGTTGGAGTCTCTGTGCCCATCAACCCGGCTAAAGCTCAGGACGTTCGATTTTCGTTCTCTAAATTTCGTAAACAACACTCTTGTCATGAGAAGACAGTGAGTAGGACTTCATTGGCAGAGGCTATATACACGTGGCCATGCGAGAGCATTTCGAGAGGGAGAGCGACCTCTCCGCACTCTCGGCCGTACCAGAGCATTTGGAGGCGTTTAGCTGAAATATTGAGACGAGTTTAACTTTACCTTTACAGTAACTAATATCATTTGAGGAACATGTAAATAAACCAAAAAAAATTTTTTTTAATTTAAATTTAAAAAAATATATTTGATTCAAATCTACAGAATAGAAGGAATTTCCCCCCCCCAAATGTAAATTCATTAAATTCAACAATCATAATAATAATACAATCTAATTCACTACATTCTCTTTGTTATTTTCTTTTTTCTTTTCTTTTTTCGTTTTTTTTCTTCAAAAATTAATTCTCATCATTTTTATCATTGAAGATATTGAACATTGAAATGTAGTGGTTTATTCACTTGATGCATCTTTGATCAATATACACATAGATACAAGAAAAAATGTATGTTTTTGTATATCTGTATTTTTACCTTTTCTTTTTTTTTCTTTGAAAGTGAAGAAAGAGTAAAGGGTTTATCAATAAAAAATAAGTTGAGGTTCTAAAGTATACAAAACAACTTTCTTACTGTTGTTGTTATTGTTGCTGAGGAAAAATAATGTTAATTCTAACTACATCTCATATATAACTAAATCATAAGATGATCGAATTATTTAATGATTAGTACATCTTGTCTGGTAATAATGAAACATTCACTCACTTACATACACACACATACACACACAAAATTAGGTGAATAAACATGTGTAAAGATACTTTTAGAAATGTTACAATCAAACAAAATAATTTCCATTCAAATTCTTCTCTTTGTACATGAATAGAAATAAGAAGAAAATGATAGAAAAAATACAAAACAAAAATGATATCTGAGAAAAAAAAGCGAGAAAAAAGAACCCATTTCGATAGAAGTGAATGTGTATCGTTTTAGTGAATGTATACAAAATGAGTGTATATATATATATATCAGATGTGTTTTGTAGAGATTGTAGTGATTTCAATGGTTTAGATCATGAGTCAGATGAAGTTAGACCATCATGGAAAACCTGGAAGCACTGGATGGCCGTTTCGTCTTATTGTGGGAATCCTCAACAGGAGGCGAAGTCATGGATGCGCACTGCTGAGGAGTCCCACAATAGGACGAAATGTCCGTCCTGTACTTCCTGGTTTTCTATGGCGGTGTAGGTTCAACTGACTCGTGATCTTAACCATTGAAATATATATATATATATATATATATATATATATATTAATGAGTAAACAATGTACATATCATATGTCTATGTAATATTGAAATTACAATATCCGTTTTAATTAAGATCATGTGATATAGATGGATGTTTATGTAATAATTTTTTAATTGGATTAGATTTTGATGTTTCAGGTGAAATTTGTCTTGAACTAGTTAAACTTTGACTACGAAAATCATAATTACGTGGTGGTAATTGAAATGTCACTACACGATTCTCTGGTGAATAATGATGTGTTCTACCATATTGATGTAAACATGGACGTGAATTCATTATTGTTGTTGGTATAATAGATTTAGAAGGGGATAAACCATCTTTTGCATTTTTAACATTATTATTACTAATACTGTTATTGTTATCATTATTATTATTGTTATTGTTACTATGAGCAATGTTTGTTTGTGTTGAAGAGATAGTATCATTCCCAGCAACTGAATGTATCGTTTTCAATCGTTTCTCATTATTATTATTATTATTACTATTATTAGAAGTATTAAGATGTATGGATTGATTATTGAATGAATTTTCATTTTTAATAAAATATTTAGTAAATTCATTAAAATCTTTTTGTATTCTATCAAGTTTTTGATTCATTTGTATCAATTCTGATTTGATTAAAGTAATATCATTTTGAGTTTGATAGAAATTGATACAAAGGGTTGAAATCAGCTGATTTTGTTTTGTTACTTTATCATTATTATTATTACTATTACCATTACTACTACTACTACTATTATCATTATTATTATTGTCAATAGTAGTAGTAGTAGTAGTAGGAGGAGGAGGAGGAGTGGTAGTATTGTTAATGTTGTTTGAATTGATGAACACATCATCTGTTTGATTGTAATTTTCATCTTGACCGTAACTGTCAGTATTATAACTGTTAAAATAATTAAAAGTAATACAATGAAAGTGAAATATTTATTTAAACTTATTACGATTATTATTGGTGTAAAAACAAGTGTACTCACAATTGAAACAACCAGTTGCCACACTTTGCCCCCAAATGCCCTAGTATGGCCGAGAGTGGGGAGAGTCCGCTCTCCCTCTCCAAATGCTCTCACATAGCCACGCGTATATAGACTCTGCCATGGAAGTCCTACTCACTGCCTCGCAACACGGGTGTTGTTTACGAAAATGAGAGGAAGAAAAGCGAATGTTTGGCGCTTTAACCGGATTCCAAACCAATGGTGAACATGGGCTGGCTTCAGTATCTTGAAGGAACAAATGGTAAATTAACCAGTCGTTGTTCACCGGCTCCCATGGAACGGCATCTCCTTACGATGCTTCACTGCCTTGTGGGTCAGACCTTCAGGTTGAAGTCTCAGGGAGTGGCCCCCTAAGAAAACCACCTGCTTCAGTTTGGGCACCCGAGCAGTATCACAGCCCTCACACAAATCAAATAAGATTAGTGTGGCGCATATTTATTTGGTGCCTCCTTGTACCAATATCTATGTGTTAAAATAAATAAATAAATACTCACAATTGATTAGAAATGATTGATAATGTTCTAGAAATGGAATTGTATTTTTAGTGGTCCAAGATTTGACTTTATTTGGATCATGAGATGGTGGAGAAGATTTATCGTTCAGGTGTATCATTTTAATAGAGTTTTATTCTTTGAGTTGAATGATTTGATTGCACTGCTTTCATTAATCTTCTGAACGACATCATCAGTACAAACGTTAGGTAGAAGTGAAGTGTAGTTATGTAATGATTAAGTTTTTAATGAATTAAAAGTTTGATATAATATATAAGCTAGGGTTATGATATAATTACTCATCAAAAGGATATAGACATTTATAAATAGTTGTCTACGTAAGATACTGAATGTACGTTGATCGGATATCATTAGTAACAATCTACGATGAAAGAGAACAAACCAACTTTCAGCTGAAGAGGATATTAAGAAAAGATATTAGAAATGATTAGGAAATACATTGTGGAAATCATCAAACTGCATCAGGAGGTGAGCTCTAACATGAAATCCTGAAGGGAAGTGGACGTGAAAATGATGAATATCAACTAGAAACGACCGGATAGGAATCCCCAGGAGATGGCTGAATGTAGAATGCTGGTGAAAGGCCTATGCTCCTAGACCAGGAGTTAATACGTAAGTACGCACTTCGGTAACTTGACCTTAAAACTGTCAAGTAAACAATGATAGGTTTAAGGTCAACAAGAACCAATCAACATCAAGGTGTACAGGGCAAGCGGGGAACCACATGTGAAGAAATGCAAACACTTCTCTTCTACCAGAAGTTTGTTCTAATGATGTCGTTCAGAAGAAAGATGAAAGCTCCCCGACCAAACCATCCAGCCCAGAGAACAAAACTTCAACAAAATACGAATGATTGATATCAATATATATATATATATATATATATATATATATATATATATATATATATATATATATACATTCTTGTATTTGACTTATTTAACTGCGTTATACACCAATGTGAGTTAAGTCGATAAAAATATACGAGAATAGACAATATGTATATTTCATGATTACTTTATTGTTTATTAATTTATTAATTGAGATCATGAGTCAATTGAAGCTAGACAACCGTGAAAAATCTGAAACCACTGGACGGCCGTTTCGTTCCATTGTGGGACTCCTCAGCAATGCACATCCACGACTTATTAATAACTTAAATCCTGTTTATTTCTCCCCATAATCAGAAATTCACTTGGTGTTGTTTACATTTATCTTCTCATTGTTATTTAGGACTGCAGTTGATCAGTCTCTTCTTGGCCTATATGCATCCTGTGCGGATTGCCTGGATATAGCCTTAAGTCACAAGCGTTTTAAGCAAAGATGGATAGTGGCTAACAAGATTTTGATTGAGTTGTTCTCTGGGCTGGATGGTTTGGCCGTGAAGAATGGATGTACCTGCAACTCAGAATTGATGTTCACTCTGGGAGTCAAACCCAGCACCGTTCGCTTGAAACACCATCGCATTATCCACTTAACTACTGACTCTTGATAGCTATCTGCTTGTGCAATGGGGTGAAGTTTAAACATCAATTCTAAGATTCAGGTACATCCAGCTAACGAGTCCCAAATAGGACGAAACGCGCATCCTGTATTCCACTACTACTATCAACTATCCATCTTTGCTTAAAATAATGTACTCTTTGTTTTATGAACTCACTTTAGGATTAATCCAACAGACTACTTATGACTTATATTCTAAATGTTCAATCATATTCTGTATTTTAAAAAAATTGTCTTATATGAAACATAGTAAAATTCCTTCATCTAGCACTAAATAACTTCAACATTTCAGATGTGGAAAAACAAAAGATATTTGCAAGGAAAATTTCGGTGAGACTATCATTTATAGACGACTTTTAAGCGACATTCACGTGACCTTCAGAGTATCCACCTGATAACTACAAACAAATGAGGGTTATAAACCTGTATTAGGAATTCGAGTTATAATTTATAGTTGATGATTAAGGTTAGAAATAAGATTTAGAGGTTTCATCACAAACTAACATCAGCTATGAATGCCAAAACTCTATTTAACTAAATGAATGAATGAATGAATTTCGCATCCAAATATCCGAAACCTGTTATCTTGTTGTTATATCTCAATAAGAATAATAAATGGTAACTTTTGGGATCTATTTATGAACCAATACTATACATGTATTTTTATCATATAATTGTTAAATGACTAAACTATTCATATTCATGTCCCTCTCATTATGAGTTTTATTTTGACTTATGAACTGTTATTATACGATTCATCATTCTTGAGTAATGCTTTGTCTATTAATTACTACCTCCCACATTCACAGCCACATTTGACCAAATCTTGTACAAATGTTGTTTCCTATTTTGTGGTACGATGTGGTCTGTTTGATTAGTATATAAACCGAGTATGTTTGAAATACATGATTGATATTGGAGAGGTTGAGATTGGTGTTCTGTACTAAACAGGCTGGGCTAGGCGGTAAGCAGGATTGATAAGGACTCTAGACTGCTCGTACGTGTTTTATGCATTATTGGTCCGATCGATAATTCACTATTCTCTAATTGGCGGTATCGTTGCGTTATCCAACATACAAGACATACAGGCCCACAAGTTATAACACATTTGTAACGTAATTAATTCATTATCAATTATAATCTGAATTCATTCAAATCAAATAACTTACATAGATTCATTTCGAATATAAGTCCTAAATGATTTACCAATATGATAAATATCATCGAATGATTTACATTTATAATTTAAGTATAAATTTGTGATATTCATTTTAGATTTGTCTATAAGATTTTCAAATGAATGAAATGAATTCATAATTGGATAATGAAAGTAAAACTTCTTCTTATATTCATTATTATTCCAATCATGATTATTACTATTATTATTAGTGTTATGAGTAGTATTGTTAGTAGTATTAATGTTGTTTGTTTTATCAAATTGATTCAATTGTTCAATAGATAAAGTATGATTCAATTATTTAATTTTTCAAAATGTTTTGTATATAAATCTAATGAATTTTGTTTTATATGAATAAATTTTTTTTTAAATTTTTGTGAAGAATTTAAATTTTCAAATAGTTTTATTTGTTTCTCATTGAATTGGTTGTCAAGACGATTATCGTTTAGAGAGTTTTTTAAATTTCTTGTTTTTATATTTATAAATAGTTTACCTGTTTCATGGGTCATAGTTCTATCATCATCGTCATCATTATCATTATCATCATCATCATCATCTTCATCGTCGTCTTTCTTATTCACTGATGTTTTATTCTGTGAATTAGTTAGTAAAATGCATTCATCATTGATTATTTCATGAGATTTATTACTAATATCATCATCATCGGAATGATCTTCAAAATCTGTATTCTTATCAGTAGTGACAGTGATTGCGGGAATCAGCTCTAAAGATGACTAAAATAAACAAAACAAGAATTAAATTACAAATGATGTTAGTTAAGGACTATAAATAAGTGAGTTTTGTCTGTTTTATCTTTCCTATATATATACAATGAATTGAGTATTAATCAACTATAATGTGTCTAAATATATGATATATATGATACTCCATGGTAAACAAAATGTGTTGATTATCAGTATAGGGTTGTGGAGATTATTAAGTTCTTTACTGAGATCATGAACCGATTGAAGCTAGACTATCAAGAAAAACATGGAAAAACTGGACGGCCATTTCGTCCTATTATGGGACACCTCAACAGTGCACATCCACGATCCAGCTCGCGGGACTTGAACCCAGGGCCTTCATTCGCGCGCGCGAACGCCCAGCCTACTGGACCACTGAGCCGACCGGCATCCAGTGGTGTTACTTTCTAACATCAACCAATCCCGCTAGCGGGATCGTGCATGCGCATTGTTGAGGAGTCCGACAATAGGACGAGCTGGCATCCAGTGATTCCAGGTTTCCAACGGTGGTCTAACATCAATTGGTTCATGATCTCAATCAAAAATGTGTTGAAATAGATTTATATTCTTCTTGGTATATTTCACAGCCTGACATTATTATGAAGCCATATTTATTAGATAACAGGTATTATTTCAGTTTCAAAGTTTAAAGTGTATAAGACATCACTTGAAACTGGTGAACGAAATGAAATCAGCAACATAACAACAAGAGAAGCTAAGCTATTCTACTACATCTCATGCCCCCAAATGCCCTGGTATGGCCGAGAGTAGGGAGAGTTCGCTCTTCCTCTCCAAATGCTCTCACATGGTCACGCGTATATAGACTCTGCCATGGAAGTCCTACTCACTGCCTTCTCGTAACAGGGGTGTTGTTTACGAAATTGAGAGGACGAAAAGCGAATGTTTGGCGCTTTAACCGGATTCCAAACCAATGGTGAACATGGGCTGGCTTCAGTATCCTGAGGGAACAAATGGAGCATGAACCAATCGTTGGTCACCAGCTACCATGGGACTGCGTCTCCTTACGATGCTCCACTGCCTTGTGGATCAAACCTTAAGGTCAAAGGTTCGAGGTGTGGCCCCCTAAGAAAACCACGTGCTTCGGTTTAAGCACCTGGGCAGTATCACAGCCCTCACACATATCTGTGTGGCGCATATGTATTTGGTGCCTCCTTGTTCTAATACTTATTTGTTAAAATAATAATAATAAAAATAATAACTACACCTCATCCTTGTTAACTAGAAGGAGAAGATTAGATGTATATTCCACAAGCAGTCAGAAGTTCGAACGAACAAGCATACAACTTATGCGTACATAAACAGTATAAAAATGTCCTTGGTAAACGTCATGAAATAGTGTATTGAAGAAAGGAACAAACCAATGAAATTTAAAGTGTCCTTCCAAGTGGGTAAGGTAAATATGAGTGCTTTTGACGCGAAAATGAGAATTCAATTGCTCAAAATAAACTTACATAAATAAGACGTTTACTAAGTGATTTCTGGGGATCTAGCATCCCCAGCCTTCTGTTGTACCAGTGTTATTACATATAGAAGTAAGGTCATGTTATTGTAACTGATAGAAATCTGTGAATATAATATCGATCGAAACACTTGTGAGTTCTAATGTGTACTCAAAAAAATATATTTCACTATAGGTCTCTTGTTAAGAACGGGTAATTCATAATGTTACCATCCATCATAATGATGCCAGCAATAATGTTTCCAAATATTCACTAAATAAGTAGCTATAAAATCATGTCTATAATATCATATATATCGACTATTATGTATTGTATGTTGAAAAGACAGACAGACAACTGATTGTAAAATTACAGGATAAATATTTCTAAATCTTCAGAAAAAAAGCACAAAGGTACAGTGTAGTAAGATGATGAGATTATATTCCATAGAAAATATAGAATTGTTTAAGACAAAACTAAATTCAACATAACTTCACCTTTGAGCCCATCTGAGCTCTATAACGTTTATTGAAAGCATTTTTATTATCTCGGAATCTGAGTAGACGCTTTACATGATCATGTCAAAATTATAATGTTACTAACGATGTTTTGAATGAAAGAAACACAGCTCTTAATCAGTTTGTGAATTGATTAATTAGTTCATGAATTTTCCTATATATTCAAGTAAACTGTTCAGATCTAAATGATGTAAACATTTAGACAGCTTTTAAGTAAACTGTTTTTCTATAGCTTAAAGGCTAATTATGTCATATGGAAACTGATTACTTCTGTGTTGTATATGATAGCTCCAGTTGATCAGTGGTATTTGGTTTTCGAAATGGGTGTTATCAGGTTATTTGCAGATCAATGATTATAAAAAAAGTTAGGAAAGGAACATCCTCTCCCCGAAAAAAAATGCGAAAATGCCGATATCAAATGGAGACAAGTAGGAACCTACCACCATTTGATGTATGTATTGATCCTACATCGTATTGTAGGAGATAAAAGTAGTTTGAACTTGGAAGTAAACAATAGTGTTTGATGTTAGATACTAACACCGTTAGATTCTGACTCAGTGGACCAGTAGTTTAAGCGTTCGCGCGCGAGACTGAAGGCCCTGAGTGTGAATCCCGCGAGCGGGATCGTGCATGCGCACTTCTGAGTAGTCCCAGAATAGGACGAGCTGGCCATCCAGTGCGTCCAGGTTTCCAACGGTGGTCTAACATCAATCGGTTCATGATCTCAATCAAAAACTTAATAATCTCCACAACCTCTATGCTGATGAATAAGATTATTGTTCTATTTATGAATATTCACGAAAACTTGGGAAATAAACAATATTAATGGTAAACATATTGTTGGAAATACTTCACTATGTACAATTATAGCATAAGTGCGATGCATATTCCATTTACTACATTTCGGCAATTTCAATAATTCCACGACATTTCAAAACTGTTATGAAAATTTTCTGTTCACACTGATCGCATTTTCACAATCCACTGAACGAAATCTTAACCGTACTTTAAGAAAACTCGCAAAAATTCCATTAAGTAGTCATAAGTAATGATATAATACAGTCATATCAAGAATAGGATAGTAAATTAATAATTAAATTCACGAGTCAGTTGAAGCTAGACTACCATGGAAAACCTGAAAGACCTAGATAGCCGTTTCATCCTAATATGGGACTCCTCAGTAGTGTGCATCCACGATCCTGCCTTGCAAAATTAGAACCCAGTCCTGGTTGAATTTAGACATTAACACCACTTGATGCCGGTCGGCTCAGCGGTCCTCGGTTTGAATCCCGTGAGGAAGGATCGTGGGTATGTACTGTCGATGAGTCCCACAGTAGGACGAAACGGCCGAGCAATGCTGCCAGGTGTTCCTTGGTGGCCTAGCTTCAATCGACTCATGAATTCAATCATTAAACAGGATAATGATTACCAATGACACTGAATGATACATTTTTTTTGTATATAAATATAAATTAATGAATAAAGAACTCACAGTTGGATCGAATCCAGCTCTTAAATTAAATGATAATTCTTCTGAAATGGCTAAAGCAAATTGTTTTCGAAATTGTGGATATTGATCAAATATTTCTTGTAGTTGATGATCTAATGCTATACATTGTAATTCACAATATGTTAATGATTTAACATTATAAGCAGAATATCCCAATATAGGTAAATCATCCATATCACTACCAAATATATCGCATTTACCTAAAATTATAATAATGACAAAAATGGAAAAAAAGAAGAAAAAAGATGAAAGAAGGAATACGAAATTAAGTTTCATACACATAGGTCTCTTTATTATCTTAAATAGAGTAAGAACAAAGATTGACATACTTATACATAAGAGGGTGATTAGGGATGAATACATGTGTAACATGATGTAGTGAAGATTCCGATAGAGTTAATGAAGTCATAAAAATTGTTTGTTTCCATTAAATAAAGTTTGAGATGTAAAGTTCCAGAACATTGAAATCCTGATTAGAACTCATGGAATTAAAAAAAACACATTCGATGATTATGTAATGAAGTAACTGAAAATAGATTAATGGTACATGTATTTGCCAAAGCAGTTACATTGGTAGAAAGAAAGGGGAGCCTATGTCCGATTCAAAGAACATATTCCGAAGCGTTTAAGATGAAAAAGACTAAAAACATTCAGCAGTGCCATCGCAAGACATTTCCTTGACATAGGACACGAAGTCGATACATTGAAGTCCATCATGGGGAATAACAAACAATCAAACTCAAACCTTTTGAAATTTGCCGAAGTAATAGCAATCAAACGTCTAAAACCAGATCTATGAATACAAAAAGAGACAGTAATAAATCTTTCTTTACCCTGGTAAGATCACTCCTCCTTTTTTTACTTATTAATTCATTACATCATTCATTATTCCAAATCTTTCTGGATTTTTAAAATTACATCATTCATAACTGAATGATTTCAATTCCTATCTTTCTTTATTACCATTAATCTAATCTCAGTTACTTCATTACATAATCATCGAATGTGTTTTTTTTAATTCCATGAGTTCTAATCAGGATTTCAATGTTCTGGAACCTTCCATCTCAAACTTTATTTAACGGAAACAAACAATTTTTATGACCTCATATACTCTATCGGAATCTTCGCTACGCCATGACACACATGTATTCATCCTTAATCACCTTTTTATGTATTGGTATGTCAATATCTGTAATAGTGTTGAATTTCAAATAATTTAGGTTGTAAGCAACTGATGAGAACTTGACGAAATAAAATGAATTCATTTATTATTCTGCACCAATCTTCCTTCTTACTCTCTATAAGAAATTAAGTGTCCTAGTTGTATTATTTGTTTGCACTATGATCAATCATGAAGCATTTACATCATTGAAGTTTTCAAATATCTATCTTATTTAATTAAGAGAATGAAAATGAAGGTTATTTAAAAACTCTATGCCGGTTTATTGAATATATCCAAGATATCAAATAAATGTGAAGAAAATAGTCTAAGTGATTTATTGTATTTGTTTATTTATTTTATTTTAACACATATTGGTATAAGGAGACACCAAATAAATATGCGCCACACTAATCTTATTCGATATGTGTGAGGGCTGTGATACTGCCCGGGTGCTTAAACCGAAGCACGTGGTTTTCTTAGGGAGCTACTCCCCGAGCCTTCGACCTGAAGGTCTGATCCACAAGGCAGTGGAGCATCGTAAGGAGATGCAGTCCCATGGGAGCCGGTCACCAACAATTGGTCCATACGCCATTTGTTCCCTCAGGATACTGGAGCCAGCTCATATGCACCATTGGTTTGGAATCCGGTTAAAGCGCCAGACATTCGCTTTTCGTCTTCTCATTTTCGTAAACAACACCCGTGTTGCGAGGTAGTGAGTAGGACTTCCATGGCAGAGTCTATATACGCGTGACCAAGTTAGAGCGGACTCTCCCCACTCTCGGCCATACCAGGGCATTTGGGGACGATTTATTGTATTCCGACTAATTTACCTTATAGTTTGTGTATGTATCATTAACATATGACCGAAGCAGTTGGTATCTACTTTAATCCACTAGAAATGGGTAATAAGCACTTTCCTTAATTTAGCCAACAATAATGAAACATTAGAACAGGTTATAAATTATTAATTATCTCTCCCCTTCCTTTCAGTTATTTTTTCTCTAGTTTTGTTTTTTCTTACACAATTGGTACATTTCCCTCCATCATATGTCACTTAATAGAAAGATTCATCAACTCTCATAATAGATATTATATGATCGTTTAGTTCAATACATGCTTGTAACGCTTTATCCATTTATCTCTGACTACTTTTCAATAGTAGTCACTCTATGCATTGCATCGTTCGTTGATTTCACTATTGATTTTTACAAGCGCACTTTTGAATTTGTAACATCAACATCTAACAAATGAACACATGACTGGTATTGTGGAGTGTTCTACTGATACATATAGATATAAGTAGTATGTATCATTAATCGAAAGTGAAATATCTGGTGACAGAAGGTTAAGAAGATCGAAGGGAAGAGAATAAGAACAGAGAATGATTGGTGTGAAAATGAAAACCCTGATTCCAAACTAATGGTGCACATGGGCTCCAGGATTCTGAGGGAATAAATGGCGTATGAACCTGTTGTGGTCACCGGCTACCATGGGACTATATCTCCTAAAGTTGCTCCACTGCTTTGTGGATTGGACCTCTAGGTCAAAGGCTAGGAATGTGGCCGCCTAAGAAAACTACCTACTTCAGTTTGGATACCAAAGAGCATCACAGCCCTCACACAAATCAATGATAACTGCTGCTGGCCTCATTGTTATTGTTTGGCGCATATGTTTTTGGTGCTCCCTTGTGCCGATGTTTATTTGTTCAAATAAACAAACAAATAAATACATTTTGACCTAGTCAATTATTTGCTTATTGACCCTGTTTTTATATGATTGTATTTGTGTTAATTACTTACACTATTCATCATGTGTCTGAAATTTTTTTTTTGAATTTAAATATTGAGTGACGCTTTATCTAATGGAGTTGGCTCATTCGTTTTATCCACTGCGTGTCATTTCGTTTCGCTTCTTCCTCCTGATCATCTGTCCTGATCAACGATTGTATGAAATATATGTATTCGAAATCTATTCTCTTCTTTGACTTATTTATTCTTGTTATTTACTGATGAGATTTAAGTCCATGGTTATATACAAGGGTAGCCGGAATGTAAATTTTAATAGCAATCATCATATGAGATACCTGGAGTCAGATGTCGGACCACTAACATATCTAAATTTAGGATTTCTACTTTCTTAAAATTTAAATTTACCATTGTAACTCATGGTGATACCTTCAAAAAATTCACATATATACATGTGTATATATCAAGGATTACTACATAAGAGAATGGTTAAGATTTGATAATGAGACTGTGTATAACCCACACTCAAAGTATGTATATTGTATGGTGTTAAACAAATCATTGATATAAGTGACATTTAACCATAGTCTTAGAACTTCATCATGGTTTGAGAAGAGAACGGAATATGAAGGATAACAATTAGATTTAATGAACGAAATATAAGATGACAACTTATTAGACAACAGTTTGAATTCTATTAGTTTTATTTTGAAGTTATATTTCATGGATGATTACAAAAACATAGACTAAGAAATATATAAGACAAAGAAAGAGCAGCATATATATAATTGATGAACATCTGAAACTCAAAATAATTGTCAGCCAACAACAAATTCAGAATTCTAAATACAAATGTCAACACACTTCTACTGTATGAGGCGGAAACTTGAGAACTACGAAATCTATCATCCAGAAGATATAAGTATTTATCAACAGTTGTCTACGCAAAACACTTCGGATCCGTTGACCGAAAACTATCAGCAACAATCTACTGTGGGAGAGAACAAACCAGATTCGAGAGGAGGAAGAAGTGCTGGATGTGGATAGGACACACAATGAGGAAAGCACCCAACTGTGTCACAAGATAAGCCCTCACATGGAATCCTCAATGCTAAAGGAGAAGAGGAATACCAAGGAACACATTACACCGAGGAATGGAGACAGATATGGGAAGAATGGGTAACAATTGGATCGAACAAGAAAGGAAGGTGGAGGACAGAGTGTGTTGGATAATGCTGGCCGGTGACCTATGCTCCATTGTGGGTCAGCAGGCGTAAGTATGTAAAGAGGGGAAAAAAAGTATAAATGGTGTGTAATTTTTAGAAATTTCAAATTTAACTTCTAATAATTGGAAAAATTAATTGAAGAAAAGTTTTATAATTTCAGAAGACAGAGATAAGAAATTTTCGAATAATTTTCAGTTTTATTGAATAGTAACTACGACACTGAATTTAAAAATTTCTCAAAATGTATACTACTTATAAGTAGATGAAAATTACTGACAAAAATGAATTAGTAACATAACGGGTATTCTGTTGATATTATAGTGGTTTCAATAGTTGAGATCATGAGTCAATTGGAGATAGATCACTATGGAAAATCTGGAAGCACCGGATGACCGTTTGTCTAAAAATCTAGAGGTTAGGCGTTCGCACACAAGACTGATAGGTCCTGGGTTCGAATCACACGAGGCGGGATTGTTTATGCGCGCTGCTAAGGAGTCCCACGATTGGACGAAAACAGCCGTCCAGTGCTTCCATTGTTTTTCATGGTGGTCTAGCTTCAAATGATTAACAATCTCAACTATTAAAAATGAATTAGGTTGATTCAATAGACTCAGATTTAGTTAAGTACTAATATGAATGGAGGATATTCCTTTAAGTTATATCAAAAATAACCTGTCATACACCATGCTAATGAACATAATAGTACTTTTGTTTTATATCTACGTTAGACAGCCATTAAACAATTTTCTACAATAATACAGAACATGATTTATTTTACAGAAAAAGTAACATGTAATTTATTAGTGAATAAAAATTCATACACGTGTTAACTAAAAGAATAATTTATTTAAGTAGTATAGTAATATTCTTTAAAAATATTCTCAACAAATGTTTAAGGCAGGTTCAATTTCAAAAATAAAGTTATGTAATGAAGTGAATTTAAATTAGACGGTATGTCTGTGAATAAATGACAAAAGCATAGAATATTTTAATAAACTATGAGAACTATACACTAAGTAAGTCATGTGCGAATTTCCATTATTTACCCTTCACATTCGGTATAATTTTCCCAAATCACGATCTTCAACTCGATCTTCTTAGCCTTCTGCTGCTAGGTTTTTCAGTTCTGATTAGTGTCACATACAGCTTATGACAGCTTATTTAGGTAGCCTACACCATATTACATACTCACTTACTCCTGTTAACCCCCAATGGAGAATAGTTCTCCAACACATTCTGTCCGGGGCTTCCTTTGTACTTCTATCCAACTCTTGTTCATTTTCCTCATGTCTGTCTCAATTTCTCGGTGTAATGTGTTCCTTGGTATTCCTCTTCTCCTTTAGCATTGAGGATTCCATGTGAGGGCTTATCTTGTGACACAGTTGGGTGCTTTCCTCATTGTGTGTCCTATCCACATCCAGCACTTCTTCCTCCTCTCGAATCTGGTTTGTTCTCTCCCACAGTAGGTTGTTGCTGATAGTGTTCGGTCAACGGATCCGAAGTATTTTGCGTAGACAACTGTTGATAAATACTTATATCTTCTGGATGATAGATTTCGTAGTTCTTCAAGTTTCCGCCTCATACAGTAGAAGTGTGTTGACATGTGTATTTAGAATTCTGAATTTGTTGTTGGTTGACAGTTGTATTGAGTTTCAGTTTTAAATATACTGCTCTTGCTTTGCCGATCCGCGCCTTCACATCTGCATCAGATCCACTGTGTTCATCAATCATGCTGCCAAGATACGTGAAGGTATTTAAATTTTCCAAATCTTCTCCGTCAATTGTGACTGAATCGTTGCATGCTGTGTTGTATCGGAGAATCCTAATTTTCCTTCTGTTTACGTTGAGACCTACTGCTGCTGAGGTTTCTGCTGCTACACTGGTCGTCTTCTCGTGTATTTGTTGTCGCGTGTGCGATAGAAGATTTAGATCATCTATGAAGTCTAGATTATCCAGCTGCATCCTAGATATCCACTGTATACCATGCTTCCCCCAGTTGTTGACGTCTTCATGACAAAAGAATCTAAATATTCCGCCATTGTCTTTTTATTTCGTTAAATCATTTACAGTGGTTAGAAAATGGTGTAGAACAGTTAAAGGAAGTTAAATTTCTCTAATTCACTATTAAAGAACAGATGTTCTTTAAAATCAGTCATGTTTTTGATCGGGTGTTTGTATTTGTTTAAGTAATCTCAAACTAGATAGAAACAAGTTCTGAGTACCATTTAAAATGTATCGATGACGAAAATTGTTCTGAAATTTGAGTTATATGGCATTTTACTTCACTGGAAGTATTGATATTGTGTCATAGGTCTTCACTCTAGGTAACGTGACTAGTTTACTCAGAAAAATACATTTAGCATTGTTGAATTTGAATATCATTTCGATACATTAACTGTGATTTATGATTTGACACTATTTAGTTTTGAAGCATAGTAACGTTTATTTAATCTAAGAAGAATCATATCATCGTTCAGTATAAACTATAGAACCTTCCAAAGCTTGAAGTTGACCTGTGAGCTTTCATTATGTTCACAGTCCAATCAGAAAAACACTAGAAGGGAAGTAGATCTTAAGTTATGTTTAAACCCATATATAAAGTTAATAGGTAATTTGTCTATTTTCTTAGCTCACTGAGATATAAATAAATATATATCTGCTCTGAAGTAGTCGCTTACACTAAGTTACGAAACGTCAATAATGTAAGTTTACATGTTTCATTAAAATTCTTTTTTTTTTTTGAAAAAAACTTACCCAACAATCCAACAACTGTACCTTCTTCACCAAGTATTTCCAAAGAACCACTACAGACAAAATAGATAAATTGTAATGCATCACCTTGATTAACAAGATATTCACCAGGTGTAGCAAAACGTGTTGTTATTAATTGAGCTAAACATTTACGACAACCAGGACTGGCACTTTTGAATAAACTCAATGATAATATTTCACGATTTAAATGTAAAGCAATATCACCGCGTAAATTTTCCGGGAATGATTGTAATATCTATATTGTCAAATGAAACAATAGATCATTGAGGGGGGGAAAAAACGATGACTTATTAGTGAATCATCGAAAATAATGGTAAATTTGTCAGATCCCAATGAGTAGAAAATTAAATTTTTGTATTTTCACAATTTAGTGTAAACTATTTCTGCAGCGAGTAATTGTTTGAGGGGACATTTTAATCACTGAATGACTACAGTCGGGTTTCTGTTAGAAATCTTTGTGTAACTAGGCAGTTGTTTGCTCTTAGTTTTTGACTTTCCAGCAGTATGAATCCACAGCTTAATATACGGTCAGACGGAAAGCTTTCAACTGTCGCAAAAATATTAGAATACGGCAATTATTCACCGTAGTCTGGTTTTTAATGGAATCTGAACTATCCTAATTATATTATATGTACTGAATTATCTGTGTTTTATCCAGTCTAAAATTTTGAATGCTTATTTCTGAAGCAATCCATACCAGGGCTAAACATGTATATACGGATATTCCGAATCTAATTAAATGTCTATAAACGAATTCCCTACGCATATATTGTGATAATTCCAAAATATAAGATGAAAGATATTCGATCCTAACAGTTTAATATAAGTTAACTGACTTCATCATTAATTTGGTTTACTTCTCTATAGCCTCACCTCGTTAAGCTATAGATAAACGTATCGGTGAGACTATAATTTAAGGACGACCTTTGAACAACACAGAAGTAACCTTGAGAGTGTTCACCTAATAACTGTAACCAAATGAGGGTTATAAACCAATATGAGGAATTAGGACTGTGATTTACAGTTGATGATTTGGGTTAGAAATTAGATTTAAGGTTTTCATCACGAACTGACATTAGCTATAATGCCAAAACTCTATTTCACCAAATGGATGATTGAATTTCGCACCAAAATCCGAGATCTGTTTTCTTTTACCTGATTGGTTCATTCAAAAATGATAGTTTCGTCACAAATGTTTTACATTCATTGGATTAAACATCATAAATCTGTTCAAATAATTAAATCTGGTTGAAATGAATATTACTATTCAGTATTATTATTATTGCAGTTTAAACAGTTGAGATCATGAGTCGGTTGAAGCTAGACCATCATGGAAAACCTAGGAGCACTGGACGGCCGTTTCGTCGCAGGATTCGAACCCAGCACCTATCAGTCTCGCTCCAGGCGCTTAGCCAACTAGATCACTGAGCCGGCCGGTATCCAATAGTGTTAATGTCTAACTCCAACTAATCCACGAAGTTGAGCGACACATCCACCATTGTCATCAGTGAGTTACTACCTCACAACTGACCCGGTTGAACTCCAGTGGTGGATGTGCACTACTGGGGAGTCCTACAATAGGACGAAACGGCCATCCAGTGATTCTGGGTTTTCCATGGTGGTCTAGCTTCAATTGGCTCATGATCTCAACTGTTTAAATTACTACAATCTTCACAAAACCCCTTCTGATATTATTATTGTTTTGATCAAACTTACAGCTTCTTTATCTATACCACGATTAATTGCCCACATAGCTTGAAAAAATTCAAGCATACGTTGTTTTAAAGGTTTCGGTATATGATGAGCACGTGTAAAATCTTTTAAATCTTGATTCTTTGTTTGATATGCTGAACGTCTTGAATACATACGTTGAATAAGTGTTGTCACATTACCGAATACTGCTGCATGCATAAGAGCTGATCGAATTAATTAAAAAAAAACAAAATTGTTGAATAAAAATTTGTGGGAAATTATTAATTTAAATATAGTTAGAGGAGATTTTATGAAGAGCGGTTCAATGAATTGTAGTTACTTATTTACTGACTCCTGTTAACCCTCATGGAGGAGCATAGATCAACCACCAGCATTCTACATTCAACTCTTCTTTGAACAATCCTTTCTAGTTATTTCCAGTTACTATTCATCATTTTCATGTATACTTTCAATTCTTTGGTCTTCCACTTTTTTGTTTACCTTCAGGATTCCAAATTAGAGCTTGCCTCATGATTTCCTCAATGTATATCCTATCCATTTCCACAGTCTTTCCTAATTTCCTCTTCAGTTGAAGTTGGTTTGTTCTCTCCTACAGTAGTTTGTTTCTAATGCTATCCGGTCAACGGATATTAAGTATCTTGTATAGACAATTGATTATAAATACCTGCACTTTATTGATAACGGTTGTAGCTCTTCTACGGTTACTACCGGTGCAAAGCCCATGTAATAGAAGAGGGTTAGACATGGTATCAGAAATCTCATCTCGTAGTAAACAACCTTGTTAAATAAAACTAACCAGAATAGTTGAATAGTAGTTGCTCTACATTAAAAACGAATCGAAGTTGAAATTGTACCATTAAACATCAACCTAGTTAATTTTAATGTTTAAGTGTTCACTATGAAACTTAAAGATCCAAGGTTTAATCCATAGTAGGTTACTAGGTACATTATACTGAAAGATTCTATACTATAACTAAATGTCTATAAAGTGCTTCCTAGTTTCCGGAATGAGATCTAGTTATGGCGTAAAATCCTACACCTTTAGTTAAATACTGTACGAAAATCTTATTTAAATCTTTAGAAATAATATTCATCACGAAAGGAATATGAAATCAATAAATCAATAAAAACTCCATGAAGTTAATTGAATTGTATCTACATGAATCGATATCATGATACCCTTTGTGAATTATCTACAATAATGTCCAATTGTGTGAATAAAATGTTCATAACAGTATAGTAACTATTCTATAATCAATTTCGATTATGGTTCATTTTGCTTTTAACCCTATTTTTTATTAACTTACTTAACAACAGACAATGTTATTTGAACAGTAACAATTTGTCTATTTCTTTGTACCGTTATGATCATTAGAGCGCATGTCAGACTCTGGTTAAAATGTTGAATATTTGATATATCACTTGATGATTCATTCCTTCCCCATGTATATATGTACTTAAATCTTATTATTAGCTTTTACTTTGACTTATTGCACCCTCATGCACTTTGACTATCAATTTACCTACGTATCTGTTTCTATATATATATTCGCCTCTCTGCTTCAAATTCGCTTGATGTGCTTATAGCTTTGTCATCTGCTCAATGCTCTAATAAAAAAAGCATGGTTGCCACTTCTTATTACCTTCTGATTTTAAACATCGTTGAGATGTATATAATAACGGTTACACAAGGGTGATTGATTAACAAAGCAAAATTATCCCAACAATTTAAATTGTCAGTAAATTGATTACTATATTAGTTTATGGGATTTTACAATGTCATATGTGATAAATAATCAATGAAAATCAAGAAGCACTAAATAACTTTTCCTCCTAGACCCAAACTACTAGAAAGTGTCCATCCATCACCTGTTGCCAGGGTCTACTAGTAAATGATAATATTCAGAATACAAAATACTCATTCAATACAAATTCATTCTTATCGATCATACCTATTGATACTTCAAAGATAGAGTAGTGATTTCTTTTAAAAGATTTACCTAGTATCATCAATAGAATTCGATCATTATTAAAGGATTAAACAATCATGGGATTGGTTACTGTTCATTGGTCAATCCATTGTAACATTCATAAGATTTATTGTTTTTCTCTACAGTTTTTGATATTGACATGAGATACATTTCTTTGACGATTATCAATACAAAATTATTAAACAACAGCCTTGGAGTTTTCTTTATTGATTTTGCTGACAGTTCTAGTATAGAGTGATAAATCTTAAGCGATCGTTTATATAAAAGTAAGTGATAATTGAACTGGGAATTATAAGGTTTATCTGTTACATGCGTATAGCCATATACCATGAACATATAAATGGATTATCAAGTAAAAAGTTTAATATAAAATTACTAATCAACTTAGAAGCACTGGACTGAGGTTTTGTCCTAGTATGGAACTCCTCAGCAATGTGCATCCATGATCACACACGCTGGATTCGGATCCAGGACCTTCAGTCTCGTTCACGAACGCTTAACCTCTGGACCGTTGGGCCAACATCCAACGGTGTAAATACCTAACTTCAACCAGACTGTTTTTACGGTTTGTTGTAAGCACTAGAGTAATTGTTACAAATCCCTAGAACTGAGCATTACTGTAATTTTCATGACTTAAATAAGAAAACAAAGATTGGTTCAAAAGGATATTTTGTTGACTGCCAAATTTCGTTAAGTAAACACAGAAAAGCACACTCATTTACAATATGATTTTACATACACTTATTGATTAGTTAATAGAGAGGAAATACAGAAAATTTCTACGATAACCCATGTTGTTAAGATTACCAAACAAAGTTCCAGGTGATTTAATACAATCTGTATTATGTTGAATTGGAGAATGCTAGTCGGCGGCTTATGCTCCATTGGGAGTGAAAGGCGTAAGTAAAGTATAAATCAGTGTGTTAATTGGAGATCTTATCATTTGATAATTAATAGGCCATAAGAACATAACGAATATAACATTTTACTAAAGTTCCATCTAAAAATAAGTCATATCTTAAGTGGTTAGAACTAATCGACAGGAAATGTTTTCGATTAACTCCAACCATCCAACATCTCAACTCAATGATCATTCTATTAGAAAAAAAAAGAAATGTATATTTAGTGTTTAGTTTCACATTCTCTACGAATCATCAGAATGAAGTTTTACGATTTAGTTAAGTAAGTACTTATAATTCGTGAAATCTTAATAGATTTTCCTTTTTGAAGAGCTAGACACAAATATTAAAAGGAAATCTTAATTCTTTGCAATATATATATTAATGATAATCTCTTATGAACATATATTCTATCATACATGTTAGATTTAAAGAGGAAATAGGTTGTAATTGATAAAGAACTGTTGAGAATTAGGTAAAGTTATTAGATTGAAATCATGAACTGATTGATGTTAGACTACCATTGAAAAACACCTTAAAGCCTATACTGATAATTAAAATGTGCTCACTAGTGACTAGTTTCGTGAGAAAATTCTCGGAGTTCTGGTGAGACACCGTGACCAGTGGAGCTAATACGTGTCGGGTAGAGACAGGTATCTAGCTCAGTACAATGGAAGATAGTGGTGCGATTTCGTGGATTGGTCGATGTTAGATACTAACACCATTAGATGGTGACTCAGTGGTCCAGTAGGTTGTTGTATTATGAAATTTAAATGTTCGTTGTTGAATTCGATTGATTTTGACGTCAGTTAGTCAGTCGGTCAGTAACAACGTAGAACTTCGTATGTGTGTATATCAGTTCAAGTTGCCATACCACAATAGCAAATAGATACAATTATCGATTCAAATTCCATAGTGGTAGAGGTAGTAAAAGTATAAACAATAATCGGAAAGATCAGGGTTTAAAGACGTTATTAATGGAGCATAATCCAGTGAAATAAAGTTGGAAAGAGAAAAAGAAGGAACATGAAGAATTCAGAAGATCAGAGTTTGGGGGAGCACAAAAGTGGATGCACCTGCACCATTGCAAACGATTTAGAGCCATATCATTCAAGGTCTCTGACCATTGATTGCTATCGTCTCGCGGATCTCAATCAGGTAGTCTACACCTACTAACATGGCTCAGTCCACTTGTCAGTGAATTCATGGATTTGTACCATGTTTTAGTCTGGCCACCCTTAGCTTTCTTCCAACTTACTTCTACACCATAAAACATCGCACGTCGAGGCAGTCGGTGGTTGGGCATACGCAACACATGTCCCAGCCATCTCAGCTGATGAAGTTTCACTACTTCATCAATTGGTTTGCCATTTTTACCTAGTACTCGTTTCCTAATAACTGCATTATTTACTCGGTTGTCCCAGGATATACGATCAATGCTTCGACGAATGATGATGAAATATACTTCTTGAGTTAACTTCATGTATTTTCATAGACTTAATCACGTTAATGTATAACAGAATAAAATAGATTAAATACAAGGATGATTTTGTATACATATATTTTGTGCATTCCTTAATACGAACAGACAGTGAGAACACAAGCTGGACTATACGGTGAATAACGGATGACTAAGTCATTATGTAAAAATGAATAATACATAAATTACTGATGGTCAATTAAAGTACAAATGATAGATGTACACAAGACAGACATACACAGAACTAGCATGTTTACAAACGATAAAGTACATAGGAGGGTTATAAGGTATCTAATCCAGTTAGAATGAAACATTTAATGGCTGGATAAAAATAGACTACCTAGAAGTGGTATAACAGTTGACATGTTTAGTTCCCCAAAAATACCAGAATTTAACGGTAAATGATTGTATTCAAAGATAAATTAAACATGAAAGCTACACCGTTTTCAAATTCATTTTATGGTTAGTAATGATTATCACATATTTGGGCAGCATCATTGATGAACACGGTGGATCTGATACAGATGTGAAAGCGTGGATCGGTAAAGCAAGAACATCATATTTACAATTGAAGAAAATCTGGAATTCAAAGCAACTGTCAACCAACACCTAGGTCAGAATTTTCAGTGCAAATGTCAAGACAGTTCTACTGTATGGGGCAGAAACCTGGAGAACTACAAAAGCCATCATCCAGAAAATACAGGTGTTTATTAACAGTTGTCTACGCAAAATACTTCGGATCCGTTGGACAAACACTATTAGCAACAATGTACTGTGGGAGAAAACAAACCAGATCCCAGTGGAGGAAGAAATCAGGAAGAAGCGGTGGAAGTGGATAGGACACACATTGAGGAAAGCACCCAACTGCGTCACAAGACAAGCTCTCACATGAAACCCTCAAGGTCAAATGAACAGAGGAAGATCAAAGAACACATTACGCCGGGAAATGGAAATAGACATGAGATAACTGAACAAGAATTGGATGGAACTAGAAAAGAAGGCCCAGGACAGAGTGGGTTGGAGAATGCTGGTCGGCGGCCTATTCTCCTTCACGAGGAGTAACAGGCGTAAGTAAGTAAGTAAAGTAAATGATTACCAGTGATGTCCAGCGTTCAAAGATATTGAAAAATATTAGGTCTTATAAGTAATAATAGAAATACAGATATGTATTATTCATTTAGAAAGATATAATACAGCACATCCTAGTAACCTAATGCATATTTCTCCAATGTCAGAAGTAATGAATACATGGTTGGAGGTAGTCAACAGTAAACCTTCAACCATCATCTTATCTCAATATAGTGTACGCAATACCGAATCGCCTAGACTGGTAGCCACATTCAGACTTGGTTGATACGATTAGGTCTGCACTAAGAAGGATCTGGCATACATGATATTAATCACTACCCAGTAATCAATCTATTGTAAAGATTAGAATTAGTGTTTTTAATAATAGACTTGTAGTTGTGAACATTTTACATTTTGAATTGAAGTATTACGACATCGTTTTCTGTATTCAATATATGTAGACACCGATTTATGCTTATTATCAATCTATACAATCTGAAATTATACATAACATCAACTTATATCAAACTTAGAATAATCAATCCTTCAACATAATTTATAATGGAACATGGTACATGATTGCTTAGAGAATCAAACTCAAGTACTATAATTTAAATTAATCAATTCCTTGTACAGATCCCAGTCAGTTATATTTATACAATAATAGGATATAAAACTTGTCTACGCAAGATACTCAACATCCATTAGCCGAATACCATCAGCAACACAATTCTGTGGGAGAGAACAAACCAGCTTCCACCTGAAGAGGAAGTTAGGAAAAGACTATGGAAATGGATAGAACGTTACGCAAATCATCAAACCGCATCACGAGGCAAGCCCAAACTCGGAATCCTGAAGGAAAGCGGAAAATTGGAAGGCCAAAGAACATATTACGTCGGAAATAGAAGCAGACATGGAAAAGATGAATAACAACTGGGAAGAGATGGAAAGGATTGACCAGGACAGGGTTGGATGGAGAATGCTGGCGAGCGGCCTATGCTCCTTCACGAGGAGTAACAGACGTAAGTAAATTAGATTATAAAACAGTTCTATTTTGATATAAAGTTTTAATTTTAAATGTTCAGAGATAGTTGGTAGGATATCCTAGACTGGAATTCGATGAGCTTTTATTCTCTGAGCTGGATGGTTTCGTCATGGAGATGTCATCATTCTTCTGAACGACATCATCAGCACAAACTTCAGGTAAAGGTCTTGAATTCCATGTCAGTTAAGACTTGTCACCATGACGTGTCTGTAATGTTGATATAAGTGACCCTTCTTTTTGTGATTTGAACTGTTATAACTTGTCGCCTGTGTGCCCTGTTAATGTATAATATGATGATACCACCGATTAGAGAAAAGTGAATTATCGATCAAACCAATAATGCATAAAACACGTACGAGCAGTATACAGTCCTTATCAGTCCTGCTTACCGCCTAACCATACCTGTTTAGTACAGAACACCAATAATAACCTCTCCAATATGAATCATGTATTTCAAACATAGGGGGTTTATATACCAATCAAACAGACCACATCTTACCATAAAATAGGAAACAACATTTATACAAGATTTGGTCAAATGTGGCTGTGAATGTGGGAGGTAGTAATCGATAGACAAGGCATAATTCAAGAATGATAAATCGTGTAATAACAGTTCATAGGTCAAAATGAAGCTCATAACAAGAGGGACACGAATATGAATAGTTTAGTCATTTAACGATTACACGATAAAAACATACGTATAGTATTGGTCTATAAATGGATTCTAAAAGTTATCATTCATTCTTCTCATCGGGATATTATATGAACCTAGGGTATCCCGTTCTATAGTTTGAAATATAACCTATAAGCTATGTCATATAAGACATAAATAGTCAGATTCTTCTTTTGAAGTAAATGATCAACTATATGATTTAATGTGTATATCATTGTAAAAGAAAACTATACCTTATTCAATATGGAAATGAGATTCATTTGAGTTACTTATTATCATATACATCAATGCGTTTATATCATTGTAAATAAGAGTTGATATAATTCCGACTGAAGTAACATCCAAATTGATTGGAATAAAATGATCAAATTATTAGACTGGAAACTTATAGTTTGTTGATTAAGCTTAGTTTGTTTCTTTTTTCCCTAATTATTATGCTTATTGAGGTGAATATGTATTGTGACTGTAATTATCCGATAATGTCTATATATATTTGAAGCAGTAATCCTTTTGCAAGAGATCTAAATTATTAATATAAGGAATGATTAAACTAAGTGATGTATTAATGACATGGCTCAGAGTCGTTTACAATGACACAAACACATTCACTCTATTGTGTTCTCTCAAATTTTTCTCTTTCCAAATTTATTTCACTGAATTATGCTCCTTAATTAACATCTTCAAACCCTAATCTTTCCGATTACCGCTTATACTTTTACTACTTCTACCACTATGGGATTTGAATCGACAACTACATCTTTGTGCTAATGTGGTATGGCAACTTGAACTGATATATACGTACATACGAAGTTCTACATTGTTACTGACTGACTGACTGACTGACTGAATTAAACAAGACAAAAATTCATTGATTCCTTCTAAGCTATCACTTATGAAGTTAGTCGACTTAAGTAAGCTATAAATATTGATTTATCGATGTCTTTGTTTATTTATGATTTGGGTACCATGTGAGTTATATTAAATGAAACTAATTAAAAAAGGAAAGAAAAGTCGGTTTATGAGAGTAAAACACTTCATCAGCTGAGGTTGTTGGGTAGCGTTTTGTCAGTAACTACCTAATGCCTAACCTAAAGCATAAAGTTATCTGACATAATAAGAGCTTGATAACAGCACGGAGTAGAAAGATGGAGATATAATATGATATGGATAACGACTGCTGGTCTAAGCCATGTTGATAAGTGCAGATTTATTGTCAGAATTCACACAACAGTCTTAATAAATACTTGAAAACGATACATTTGAGGTAGGATAGAATGGTTCACTGTGAGGAAGTTATATTTATACACTATCAACTTTTGAAGTTTGGATAAAATATGATTTTTAACATTTTGCATGTGTGGATAGGAGAACATTATGGACCCTTTTTCGATGCTATAGTGTACCGGAGAAGATCGTCAAAGTCATACGGAATTCATATGACGGACTGCACTGCAAAGTTGTGCATAGACGACAGCTGACAAACGCATTCCGAGTGAGGATCCGAATCATAGAAGACTGCCTACTCTCACCCTCTTTTATTTCTTCTGGTGGTCGACTGGATTATGAAGACTTCCACATTCTAGGAGAAGCACAGAATACAATAGACAGCATACACTCAACTAGACGATTTGGGCTTCACAGATGACCATGCTCGTCCATACATATGAAACTCGAAACAATTGTCTGCAAGCCAACACCAATGTCAGAATCTTCAATACGAACGTCAAGACAGTTCTACTGTTTGGAGCTGAAACTTCGAGAACTACTGCAAACATCATCAAAAATGTATAAGTATTTATAAACAATTTTCTATGTACTCAATTTCCGTTGACCAGACACCACCATCAACAGCTTACTATGAGAGAGAACAAACTAACTTCTAGCTGAGGAGGAAGTGGGAGTGCACGTGATACACATTACGAAAATTATCAAACTGAATCATGAAGCAAGCTCTAACTTGGAATCCTGAAGGTAAACGGGAAAGATAAAGATAAAAAAACACACTGCGTGGAGAATTGGAAACATACATGAAAAATGATGAATAGCAACTGGAATTGTCTAGGACAGAATCAGATGTAGAATGCTGGTGGCTGGTCTATGCTCCTCCATGAATATTAACAGGCGTAAGTAAGTAAGTAAGTAAGTAAGTAAGTAAGTAAGTAAGTAAGTAAGTAAGTAAGTAAGTAAGTAAGTAAGTAAGTAAGTAAGTAAGTAAGTTAGTAAGTAAGTAAGTAAGTAAGTAAGTAAGTAAGTAAGTAAGTAAGTAAGTAAGTAAGTAAGTAAGTAAGTAAGTAAGTAAGTAAGTAAGTAAGTAAGTAAGTAAGTAAGTAAGTAAGTAAGTAAGTAAGTAAGTAAGTAAGTAAACGTTTTATGTTTCAATTCCCTTTACTGTTTATGAACTGTATTTATCATGCATAGATTTTTATAATATATAAAATTAACTCTACCGCTTCACTTATCATTTGGTTGACTAACTCAATGAATTTTTGTGTAAATAAAACGATGTTTATGCGTTAAGAACATGCTCTTAAAAATTTTAATATTAATTTCAATAGTTGAGATCATGAGTCAGTTGAAGCTCGAACACCATGGAAAACCTAGAAGCACTGGATGGACGTTTTATCCTACTGTGGGACTACTCAGTAGTGCGTATCCACGATCCTGCGTCGCAAGATTCCAACCGAGGAACTATCAGACTTGTGAGCCAAGCGCTTAACCACTAGACCACTGAGCTGGCCGGCATCCAACGGTGTTAATATTAAGGTTTTTCACGATTGTCTACTTTCAATTGACTCATGATTTCAACTATGGAAATTACTATAATATTCACAAAAAACCCCTTCTAATATTAATATTAATTTATGATGTTTACTTTTGAATAGCCTAAAACAATCACCAAATTATGTGTAATACTAAATTTCATTTGAATGAAATTCATTTCTTACCTCCAATAAGCATAGTTATCACAGCAAATATTTTCTCATTTACTGTATTCGGTGATACATTACCAAATCCAACACTAGTTAAACTAGTTGTTGTAAAATATAAACTAGATACATATAATGCACGTCTAGTTAATCCATTCGTTTTATTCATTATTGAATATGAACGATTCAATTGCATTCGTTCACCTAATTCATATAACCAACCTATTTAATATAAAACAGACCAAAAGAAAAAAAAACAGTTGTAGAAACATAATTGTAAAATAGATCATTTATGAAGATAGAAATAAAGTTGTAATGTAGATATATTCAAACATTCTATTCCTGATTCTTGTTATATACTACTGATGTAAATTCAATAGTTGAAATCATGAATCAATTAAACAAGCACTGGACGGCCGTATCGTACTATTGTGAGACTCCTCAACATTACACATCCATGATGGTCTAACTTCAATTGATTCATGATCTTAACTATTGAAATTACTACAATCTCCACAAAAACTCCTTCTGATACTATTTATGTCAGTATAAGTAGCACATATATCACAGGATATACTTCATTATTTGATTATTTAATTACTACAAAATAGGCATAATTGCTATACAAACTCCAGTATATCAACATATATGAGATTATTGTACTCTATTAGCGTTTAACTCTTGTTATTTATTGAAAACAAGAATTTTCAAAAGATATAAAGATAATAGTAACTAAATGATAAACATGATAAAATGAATTTATAACGGTTGAATGAATGAGTATGAGAACGATATATCGATTCTAGACATGTTTTCATATTTTTGTTACCCAATGTTAAGAAACAAAGGGAAGTTTATGTTTTGTTCACTTGTTTATTTCAAATCCATTATATTATTGTTGTTAGACATAAATTAATTTCTATTCATAATATTACATCAATAGTTGGAATCATGAATCAATTGAAGCTAGATAACTATGGGAAACCTGGAATTCATTGGACGGCTATTTTGTCTTATTGTGGAACTCCTCAACAGTGCACATCCACCTCCTCTGATCTGTTAGAGACGGTGTTCTGGATTGAACTGGCTGGGCTAGGTGTAAAGCAGGGACAATCAGAACTCTAGGCTTCTCATAAGGGTTCGCGCGTCGTTGGTACGATCGATAAGTCATTGCTCTCTAATCGGAGGTCACAAGTTATAACATGATCATAATATTATAATTTGCATAATTCGAAAATATATAACATACACATAAGCTACAAAAAGAAGTCAGTTTCAAACCATTAGTTATGTATCGTTATATTACATGTATGATTGAGTGAATTTAGTTTCGAAACTTTATGAACAAAGGAAAAAAATGGATACAATTTATCTGATGATTAGTTATAGGTATTTCATATAGGAGACTAGAAGCAATAACAAACCTAATAAAGTTCTATATTCATTGCTATGATAATGCTCATTCGTTTGTGAACGGAACACCGATGGGGACAATCGAACATATTTAGCACGAAATTACAGAGTATTTCAATGAAATCTGAGAACGATATAGTAAATCGCTAATTTGCAAAATATTAGTCCATCGTTTCAAATTTGACTATCCCTTTGCAAATATCAGTTCATTGTCTCATATTCCGTTGTTCATGCATTTTCATAACAATTGTGTTCCGTTTCCGCTCTTTCCTTATCGATCTTCTGCTGAAAAACATTCTATGCCTGACCACCGTTATACACTACTTATTTGGATATAAGTAACCCACACCACAATACAATCGGTGAGACTACAATTCATGGACGATTTTTAGGCGAAGCTAGAGTGACCTTGATAGTGTCCAGCTAAAAACCGGGACAAAATAAGGGTTATAAACCTGCTTGAGGAATTAAACTTATGATTTACAGTTGATGGTTAGGGCTGGGAATTAAGTTTAGGGTTTTCATCACGAATTGACATCAGCTATAATACCAAAATTCTATGTAACTAAGTGGGTGAATGTGTGGTGTGTGCTACTTATATTGACATAAGTAATATATGATGTTAGTCGCGAACAGAAGGTCTAGCAGCAGAGAGACAAGAGGATCGAACAGCAAAGAATGGAAACAAGATGTAATTTGTATGAAAATGCAAGAACAATGAAGTCTGAGTCATTATGAGACAATTGGCGGACATTTTGCAAATTAAGCATTTACTTTATGATTGTTAGATTTTATTAACAAGTCCTGTAATTTTGTGTTAAATACATTCGATTGATCCCCAATGTTGTTCTTGTTCACTACAAATGGATTTCGTGCCATAACCCAAGATCTGTTATTCCAAATATGATTGGTTCAACCATAAATTATAGTCTCGCCGATAGATTTAGTCAATAAACTATAAAGATACATTCAAACTAAAATCATTTATCAATAAGAATGCAAACAAAAAAAAGTTATTATAAGCAAAGATGGATAGTGGTTAGCAGTGGAATCCAGGACGTGCGTTTCGTCCTTTTTTGGGACTCGTCAGTTATTGTTTAGTTTATGTCGTTTTTTTTGGTTTGACAAATGCTTGCCTATCATATCATTATTATCTTTAAAGTTCATTTGCCTTCATGGTAATTTATTTGTGAATAGATTATATGGTATCTACCTAGTTAAGGCGCAAGATATAAAACGTAGTTAGAAGTTATACAGAATTCCTTTTCTTTTCTTTCCTTTTTTTCATCGATCAATAAACGTTTTATGGCAGATAACTTCAAAAAAGAAAACAGTTTTCTAATCGCTCTTCCATAATGAATATCATTTATAGGTATAGTTGAAAAATTCACTTGGTATTGTTTTACTTAAATCTTCCCATTGATGTTTTTAGGACAGAAAATTGATCAGTCTCTTATGGGCATATGTGCTTACTGTGTGTATTGCCTCGATATTGCCTTAATTTACAAGCATTATAAGCAAAGATCGATAGTGGCTAGCAGTGGAATACAGGACGCGCGTTTCGTCTTGACCACTGTCCATCTTTGCCTAAAATAGTTGAAAAATGTCTATCACCTTGAACATTGAAATTTAAATAAAATTGACTTCATAACATGTTATATAATCGGTAAATTTATTTTATGTATTGTTGCTTCGAATCTTCCTATAGTTGTTTATAACCCATATGTGTATCCTGTGCTAATTACCTTGATAAATTAACTGAAGTACGAACGATATATAAGATTAGCTTTCCTACAATTATCTATGACATGTTATCATAGTTTGAGAATGGGTTACTGTGAAACTTTGTCATTTCGTTATATCTTTTAATTTTAGATGATTAATTATATTAAATAAGAAAGATTAGTTCAGTAAAGAGTTCCCTTTTCAGTGAATTTATTTCCAAAGCTGTGCAGTGGCAAACCTATATATACTTATTTTACGGGATGATAATAATACTGATAATAAACTTCTGTTAGACATGGTAACAGTAAGGTGAAATAAACAAAGGTATTAAAAATGTTTTTTTTTAATAAAACAATCGTTTGATTGTTAATGCCTTGAGTATTCACCAAAAGATAGATAGGGAAATTATCATTGGGAAAGGTTGGCTCAACATAATAAGATAAACATTAAAAAGAAGAATATATTTGTAAAATCTCAGCGAATGAATTTTAAGTAAATCCAACGTTTCGCCTGGCAATCTGGTCCAAGCTTTTTCAAGAAAAATATAATCAAACAACAAAATTATCGAATATAAATAGGTACATGGTTCACAGTGTACAGTAAACAGAACCATGTACCTATTTATATTCGATAATTTTGTTGTTTGATTATATTTTTGACCTTGGATTTACTTAAAATTCATTCGCTGAGATTTTACAAATATATTCTTCTTTTTAATGTCTCAAATTAACTCGGCGCCCAGATATTGTGAAACTATTCGTTCAAATTTAGACGAAAGTTCTTATTTATAATAAGATAAATGTTGAAATTGAGATTAAATGTAATCAGGAGGATCGCAGAAACAAAATGAACCATTTGGAGGTAGAAAATTTAAGGGGAAGATGGAGGGTGAAGCAGATGGCTGTAAAGGAAGAAGAGTATGAAGAAAGAGGAAAATAAAAAATAAAAATTATAAGACATCAGCACTATAGTAGAAGAAGTCCAGTCGCTTTTGCACACACAATTCTGGTCTTTCCAGATGTATGGTTAATGCCTCGGCAATGCAAAGAAGATGCAGTCTAATTGTTTTTAGGAGACTTCTACTTACCTTGTAGATGACTTTGAACGCAGAGTCCGTTTTGATTTAGTGACCCGTGTTCACAAGGTGTTCGATTACTGAGCTTCTTATTGGACCACTTCCTCCTCTTGTTCTTGAATTCTTTTGGATAAAGTACGCATCGAACGACCTATATACCTAGCTCCACATGAGCATGTAAATGGATAAATGCACATTGAGTTGGTCAGATGAGATAATTTATCTTTCAGATTATTGGTGAACAATGATCGGCTGGAGAATAATATTCGCAATGTTGCTGCGAAGAATGTTCTTTTTAAGGAATCCGAAATTCTCCTCTTTAAGATATATATAGCTTTATCACCTTTGAAGTCGATGTTCATGTATAAAGTTTTCTTTTCTACTGTAATTATTTGTGTTTTTGGCGTTTTCCGCTTTATGTTCTTATCATGAATATCGAAGGATATCCGTTATTGATAAGTATCTCCTTCAAGTGGCCCAATACTTCATCTATGACTTCGTGACTACAGATTCGTCAAATTCTTGTAGCGAGTGTCATTACCAAGTTTCTTTTTCGGCTGATGAGAACCCAGCTCTCTGTTTCAACTTTTTATCTTATCTTGATGAGCCATCCTTTCCCGATGATAATTTCCCTATCTACCCTTTGATGAATACTTAAGCCATTAACAATCAAACGATTATTAAACTTTTCTTGTTTTTAAAAGAATTTTTTAATACCTTTGTTTATTCAACCTCACTGTCACCATGCCTAACAGAAGTTTATTATCAGTATTATTATCATCTTGTTAATATAAGTATATATATTTGCGATTGTGCAGCTTGGAAAATGAATTCGCCCAAAAGGGAACTCTTCACTGAACTAATCTTTCTTATTTAATGTCTTAATGGGTGTATTCCGTTGATTAATTATATTACATGATAAATATGTATTCACACAATATGTTATTGATGAATCAATTTTAAGTACTATTCAGTCAGAGATAGATGGTAGTTAGCAGTGGAATCCAGGACGTGGGTTTCATTCTGAATCCTGAAGTCGATGTTCACTCTGAAACTCAAAACCTAGTACTAATCGCTTCAAATACCAGGGCTTTATTTACTGAGCTATTGAGTCAAGGAAATATCGAGGAAATCCGCACAGGATGCACAAATGCCTATAAGTACCTGATTAATTGCATTTTTAGACATCAATGGGAAGATTCAAACAAGTAATACAAAAGTAGTGTTGTTATATCCGATGAAGATTAAATTACAGGTAACTTCCAAGGACTATTCATGGACTAATATTCTTATTGTATAACTACTCAACAATTACACTATGTATATTTATATTCCTTTTATGATAAGCTTTATTTTGGCCTATAATTTATTATTGTACGATTTACTGTTCTTAAGTTGTGTTCAGTTTATGAACTAATGCCTCCCACATTCACAGCCACTTTTTGGCTTATTTGTGTACAAATATTATTTCCTATTTTATGGTACGTTGCGGTCTGTCTGCTTGATATATAAACCAAGTATGCCTGAAATAAACGATTCGATTCATATTACGGAAGCTAGTATTGTGTTCTGGACTCAAATGGAAGGGCTCGGAGGACATAGGACCAATAAGGACGGTAAACTGCCCACACCGGTTGAACGTCATTGGTTGGCCTAGTGTGAAGATTCGTATAGGTCGTACTCGGATTGGTAGATAAGTCGTGTGATAGGAAAGTCAGACATCCAAGGCCATAACAAGTGTATTCGTACATTACATTGGTTTTTTTGGGGGGGGGAGTCAAGTTAATCCATATCTCCAATCTCTGAGTTCTCACTACGCTACTATGTTATTACAGAGTGACCTAATTAATTTCATTAAGCTTTTATTACAAACTAAATAAGAATATGATCATGTTAACGGGACTAAATGTTACAGTAAAATTTAACAGATATCCATCCAACATTATATGATACATGATCGACAGAATTTGATTAAGAATCAATTCTAGACAAAAATCAAATTCGTTATTACTTAATTATCAACCAACATGAATATATCAGTCTTGAAGAAGTTCAGTCGCGACCTAGATAGTCAAGTGATAATATGTATGACTATGTTTTCAAAACTGCATATACATTTTGTTGACAAGTGACAACAGACCAAAAACCATCATCCAGAGATACCGGCCATTTGCCTCTAATGACATAAACTTTTTATTTAAGATAAACTATTGAATCAGATAACCAGAATTTATTGTCACAACACATTTAACAATCAATAAATATCTGGATATATTTGGACAGTATAGGGGGGAATCTAATCGTAATATACTCGGTTGATAAAGGTTTTTATACAGAAAGACACCATAAAATGGGAATATTTAGCAAGATATGCTAAGTTTGTAGGTTATATTGGACAAAGACTGATCTCAGTGTGAAAATCATCGGGAAACATGGATAACTGTAAAGATGCTTCGTTCTAATATGAAGCACCTCAAAAGCTCGCATCTACAACTCCATCAGTAGTTGAATCCCTGATCTTCAGTAGACCCAATGGTTAATGTCAGTATACAATGTACAGCGACAATCTTCGTTAAACTATTGAACTCCGATCCAACATTTTAATCGTCAAGCGTTCATGACAGGATGTGAGGTTCCTGGATTCTACCCTTGATGGAGTTGTATGACCACACTGATGAGAAATCCGATAGTGATATGTGGGTGAGAATGATAAAGATTGATTGCAAGCTGAATCAGACTAGCATATAGTCTGACAGGTCCTTGATGAGTTATACATCTTCCCTTACTCTTATCATTATTGTGTTGGATTGTGTCGAACTGTGTCAGTTTTTGGTGTGGAAATATACTTACGCTGTAGTAAAGCTAATCATGTGTTCTTGATCTGGGTTGTGTTGAAGTCCTGTAGAATAGACACTGAAAGGGAATCTAGTGTAGATATTCCTCTCAAGCAAATTAGCATCTCATTCGTGTAATGACGAGCAAATTCCGAGAATTATTCATAGATGCATCATCAACTTGTCGAAAATATTCGCCATCAAACGTGAACTGAACACTGACAGTGCATAATAAAAGTAATTCTTTCAACATTGGTGACCGAACAGGAAAAAAGGGAAAATTGGTAGATATATAGTCACAAAGGAAATCCTGTCTTTGTTCATGGTACATTTTTAGATTTCCCGGTTACTAGATAAACCCACTGGGGTTCAAAACGATATCATAACGACCTATGAAGCAGAAAATAATGGCCAATCGGCCTTTTTAGACATACTTTTAAGTGAAAGGAAAGATAGTACTATAAGAGATCAGTGTAAAGGAAACCAACTTGGACGGATCAATACTTAAATTTCCATAGCTTTTGTCCATTGCAATACAAGAGAAGCTTAATCAAGTGTCTCTTTAAGAGGACTCAAAGAATCTGCACTACTGACACGGTTGAAAAAGACGAAAAACATTACTACCTGTGTTAGGTTTAAAGCTAACACGAGTTCGCTCGATCTGCGAACGAGAACAAGACTCAGTGACCAAGACCATTAAGCTAGCTATTTGATGCATCCCAGCCCCACTAACTAGAGGGAGAAGTCCAAGCATGGAATGGGGAAGTATATTCTGCAAACAGCCAGAAACGAGAGATAACAACAAACACAAGTTAAAACTTATATATACAGTACAAAACCGTCCTTGGGAGAGTTACAAAATAGCATACTAAAAGACGCAACGGATCAATACCATTTAAGATATTTCCCAGTGGGAAATACGACGTGATGATGACAAGAGCGCCTTTGGCGCGAAAACAAGGAAATTCAAATTTCCTGAATAAAATTACAAAATTAGGTCCTTTTTCAAGTGAGTTCTGTGGATCTAACATCCGCAACAGACTGATACATTAATATTAATAGATGCAAAAGTCACTTAATCCCAATACCTTTTGTTGATTCAGTTCCAAAGAAAAAAACAAATTGAATAGTTACTTATTCATACTAAAATAATTTCTATCATTTCATTTTCATTAATATAACTTTTGTGATGTCTTTTTTATGCTCAATATATAGCTAATCCACAAGTTATTTATTTTCACTTCAAGTAATTTAATTAGTATATTCATGAAAGCTAAAGTATTCCTGAGAAATATAAGTTTTAATAATTGAGATTATGATTCAATTAAAGCTAGATCACCATGGAAAACCTGGAAACACTGAACGGCCGTTTCGTCCTATTATAGGATTCCTCAGTAGTACGCATTCATGATCCCACCTCGTAAGATTCCAACCTAGGACCTACCAGTCTCGCGTGTGAGCGTTTAACCACTAGACCATTGTGCCGGATGGCATCCAACAGTGTTAATGTTTAACTTCAACTAATCTACGAAATTGAGTGACACATCCAACATTATCATCAGTGAATGCCTATCTCATAAGTTTAGATCGGTATTATATGGCAACTTAATTTTATTTAAACTATCATAAAGATTTTTATAATCTCATCTATCATGATTATCAAACATATAAATAAGAACACAGTGTGGTGTGTGTGTGTGTGAATAGATAAAAGAATTTTACAACCTGTTTTCCTACAAGTTTTTTTTTAGAAAAAATTAATTTTGTCTTAGAGACACATAATGAACCATGTTTTGCCCTTAGTGATTAATAAATCCCTATAGGAATTAATAAAAGACAAGTATTTCATTATTGATTGGGTTTTTTTTGTTCATTTAAAAGTGAACTATTTTCTTTTTCTCACAAAAAACTGAATAGTTTTATATTGATTGTTTCTATTGAAAATTTATTACAATACAGTAAATGAAAAGAAGAAAAAAAACGAGCATAAAATTAGAATAATTGAATTCTAACGATATTCATTGTTATTTCTTTGAATGGAATAGAAGAGTGGATGTATAATTTCAATACATACATCATTATCCGTCAGCTCTCCCTCTTGAAATGCTCTCATATGATCACATGTATACAACAAATGCCAAGAAAGTCCTACTCAATGTCTTCTCTTTGTAGGGGTGTTGTTTACTAAATTGAATATTCGGCGCTTTAACCGGGTTGGTGGATACAGATAGTTCATCTAGGCGAGTTGGAAAACCCTGATTCCAAACCAATGGTTCATATGAACTACATTATCCTGAAGGAACAAATGGGGTATGAACCAATCGTTGGTGACCAGCTACCATGGGATTGCATCTATTGACGTTGCTCCACTGAACTGTGGATTAGATGTTTATGTAAAAGGCGGCGGGTGTGACCTCCTCAGAAAACCACTTTTTCGGTTTGGGCACCCGAGCAGCATCCCAGCCCTCACATAAATCGATAGTTTGGCGCCTCCTTGTACTAATGTTTATGTGTTTAAATAAATAAATAAATTTGTCTTATTTGCATAAATAAATATACATAATAATTAACTTACTGTATTCCCTTGTGATTTTCGACTTAAATTCCTCTTTGCCAATACAATACCATCCACAAGCAAACCAATGAGCAACAAGAAAGAACATACACATTAGTAAACCCAATATTACTGTACTATATTGAGAATATCGTTCAATTTTTGAAATAATCTTGCCAATCGAAGTAAACGTGCCAATTTCAATAAATGAATCCAATTACCCTAATGAAGGGAAAAGTTAAATTATTTCTTACATTTTAAAGTTAAACATTATCTAAATTATCAGGTTATAAATGAACTTGACTGATCAATCTCTAGTAAGTAAATAACATTTAATGACATTATTTCACAATCCTTAAGGTAAAAATCACTGGTAGAAATGTCCTCCTGGAGCCCCCCTGGGGTTACTGCCGATCCCAATCCCGGATAAAGGAGAAGGGGGTTGGACATAGGGTTAGCGACACCATCCCGTAGAACACTAATTTGCTAAAAATACTATAAGCAGAAAAAATAACTCAAACCATTTAAACTCTGCCCTGGTAGTTAGAAAGTCTTCATTTAGAAGAGTTTTGACGAAAGTCGAGTTCGTTCGAAAGTCACGAGGCTGATGCCCCTTCTGACAAACAGAGTAATCAATAATTTAGGTACATGGAACGCTTGTACAATGTAGAAAACCGGGAGAGTCTTCCAAATTGCTGTCTCTGTCCATTTTATTCTAATTCACTTATAATATCTATTATATGTAATAGGTGCTTATTCAGTTTATATCACTAGATTAAATACTGTAAAATTGAAAAAAAACAGTAGTTAGGAGCAATTTCTTTTTCTTCTTCTCTTTTGTATAGCTTGGTAATGCCAGAACTCTATGCTACTTTGTCCAGTACATAATCAGAACAATGGAATTTAGGAATGCCGAACTTCTATAAAGTTTTATATAGTTAGCATATATGTATTATTTTACCATATTTTAATTTTTGTTCTCAGTTAGATTATACCTTTGGCGAGTGATTTTCTAAAGTATTTTTGGTGTACGTATTTTGCTTATGATTTCCTACTGTATCCAGATTACCTTTTGATGGAGTTTTGTTCTCTGAGCTGGATGGTTTGGTGGTGGAGCTTTCATCGTTTTCTGAACGACATCATCAGCACAAACTTCAGATAAAAGTCGTTCAGAAGAACAATCAAAGCTCCAAGACCAAATCATCCAGTTCAGAGAACAAAACTCCATCAAAATCATCCACCTGAGCTACAAATCCTCTTCACCATCTCATTAATGATTACCTTTACATTGGCTGATTATTGAGTAGTGTAGTGTTTATTTAGTTCTTAGAGTTGATCGAATTCAATCTATTAATTTACAATGTGACCATTTGTTTAAGTGAGAAAATATCGTATTCATTGTGTTGAGATATTAGGTGGTTAAAGGTAGTTAAGAAGAAACATAAGACCTGGATATCATGCTAGTCAATACTTATCAATATGTCATACTTGTAATCCTGAGGGAAATGATGTTTTATGTGGGGTTCAAACCAGTGTCGTCTAGCTTTATAATTAGGCAATAATACTGTTAATGCCATTTCATATATTTTATAAAATGTTATGTCCCGATTAGAATAATGAATGGTAACTTTTGGGATCCATTTATGGATCACTGTTATACGTATGTTTTATCGTATAATTGTTAAATAACTAAACTATTCATATTCGTGTCCCTCTCGTTATGATCTTCATTTTGACCTATGAACTGTTATTACACGATTTATCATTCTTGAATTATGCCCTGTTTATTAATCACTACCTCGCACATTCACAGCCACATTTGACCAAATCTTGTACAAATGTTGTTTCCTATTTTGTGGTACGATGCGGTCTGTTTGATTGGTATATAAACCCCGTATGTTTGAAATACATGATTCATATGGAGAGGTTGAGATTGGTGTTCTGGACTAAACAGGCATGGTTAGGCGGTAAGCAGGACTGATAAGGACTGTGTACTGCTCGTACGTGTTTATGCATTATTGGTTTGATCGATAATTCACTTTCTCTAATTGGTGGTATCATCACATTATACATTAATGGACACTGGGCACATGTTATAATACAAACACATCATATTTTGAGAAGAATGATTATGACGACGTAGTTCATAAGTATCGAATCAACTGAGAGAGATAAATGAATTCAATTGTGTAATATAACTGGTTTTCTGTTTCAAATCAACTGCTTAATAATGCATCAGTACATTAGAGTAAGCTCATTTTCATTTATTGCTGAATTATCTAATCAATCCTTAATGATTATGTTTCATAACTAATTCTGAATTTGTATTCATGTTAACTAACTCATCACCATTTTAATTGATATTAGTTTTCTCATCAACTGTAAATTGATTTCTATGAATGTAGAACCATGATTGTAGATGTGAATGCGCTGATCGGAAAAGCAAGAGGAGTAACATCTATAATTGAAGAACATCTGGAAGTCAAAACAATTGTCGACTAACACCAAAGTCAGAATTCTAAATACAAATGTTAAAACAGTTCTACTGTATGAGACGGAAAGTTGGAGAACCACGAAAGTCATCATTTAGAAGATATAGGTGTTTATCAACAGTTGTCTATGCAAAATACTTCGGATCTGTTGACCAGACAATATCAGCAACAATTTACTGTAGGAGAGAATTAACCAGATTCGAGCGGAGGAAGAAATGAGGAAGAAGCGTTGGAAAGGTTATAGAACGCATATTGAGGACGAATTAATAATTTTAAAGGTAGATTCATCCATTGAAACCAGTTAAAATGTCTTTGATTATTATGGAGAGAAAATAATAATAAACTAATCATTATACACTGATCCATTAAACATCTATTGTTTACCTATTAGTCATTAGTTTAAGGATAAATACTTAAAGTTTCACTGATCATACATAACTGATAAAGTACAGCTACAGTATAAAGTTACCAAGTCATTGACCATAACTATTGTGAATATGGTAGACTTTTAACGTTTCATAGTTAAATAAACTATTTATTTATTTTTATTTTAACACATAGATATTTGTACAAGGGGGCACCAAATACATATATGCAACACAAATCTCATTTGATTTGTGTGAGGGCTGTGCGACTGCTCGGGTGCCCAAACCGAAGCAGGTGGTTATCTTAGGGGGCCACACCCTGAGCCTTCGACCTGAAGGTCTGATCCACTAGGCAGTGGAGCAACGTCAAGAGATACAGTTCCATGGTAGCCAGTCACCAACGATTAGTTCATAAGCCATTTGTTCCTTCAGGATACTGGAGTCCGTGTTTATGATTGGTTTGGAATCAGGGTTTTCCAACTCCCCTAGGTGGACTCTCCATGTCCACCAACCCGGTTAAATCGCCAGACATTCGCTTTTCATCCTCTCAATTTCGTAAACAACACCCGTGTTGTGAGAAGGCAGTGAGTAGGACTTCCATGGCAGAGGCCATAAACGCGTGACCATGTGAGAGCATTTCGAGAGGGAGTGTGAACTCTCCCTACTCTCGGCCGTACCACGGCATTTGGAGGCAGTTGAATACTGGTGCTTTTTGTTTGTTTATATGTTTATTATGCTTTATTTTATGCCTAGATATTAATCTGATTAATACAGAACCCTTTTATGTTTAACTAATCTATCGTCAATAAAATAAGGGATATGACAATTGTTGTAGTTATCAGTACAAATACAGATACCATCACATATTCATGAATATTATAGATATATTATTAGAAATGACTTATTTAAATGAACATTATTGTTGAATGCTTATCTTAGTATACCAGTATCGGATAACTATTTATCCTAAATTTATCTTATATCTAAATATAATATTGTTTCGACTAAATAGGATGTGCATTTCGTCTTATTTAGAAATCGTCAGATGAATGAACCTACATCTTAGAGTAGATGTTCACTCTTGAACTCAAACCCAGTACTGTTAGTTTTAAATGCCATCGTGTTATCCACTTATCTACTGAGTTTTGATAGCCACTTGCTTGTGTAATGGGGTGAAGTTTAAATTCCCTTAGTATTGTTTACTTAAATCTTTCTATTGATGTTTAGGACTGTAATTGATCAGCCTTCTATTGACATATGTTCATCCTGTCATTTGTTATTCATTGAACATCATCCAATCCAATCAATCATGAAGTAGAAACAATTTAGAACTATTGAAAACTTAATGTTTCATTGTCTTATTTCATTGAAACAACAATTGATTCATTTAATGCTAATCAATTTCATTATCTTTTTTGTTTGAAACGAAAAAAATAAAAACATTTCAAGACGAACTGTCAATCTGTCGACAATATTCTATTCACAATACTGTAAAGATGGATAGTGAGTTGTACATAAAACTAATCCAGGGTTATGAAATAATTCGAATTAGTTATGAAAAATGGATTATAGACTTACACTATTATCCCTAACTGATGAACACGTCCAAATGAACTGGTACGGCCGAGGGTCGAAAACGTCAGCTAGCCCTCTCGAAATGCACTCAAATGGCCATGTGCATGCAACCACTATCAAGGAAGTCCTACTCAATGCCTTCTCGTGACCAGGGCGATGTTTACGAAATCGAGAGAACAAAAAGCGCTTTAACCGGGTCGGTGAACACAGAGAGTCCACCTAGGGGAGTTGGAAAACCGTAATTCCAAACTAATAGTGCACATGGGTTCCAGTATTCTGATGGAACGAATAGAATATGAACCAATTGATGGTGACCGACTACCATGGGACTATATCTCTTGACTTTGCTTTATTGCCTTGTGAATCAGATGTTAGATCGAAGTCTCTAGATGTGACCCTCTAAGAAAACCACCTGATTCAGTATGGGCACCCGGGCTGTATCACAGTCCACATACAAATCAAGTAACTTGTGTGGTGCATATGCATTCGGTGCCTTTTTGTGCAAATATTCATGTTTAAATAAAATAAACACTTCGATAAAAGAAATTTGTCTCAAGGTGTTTTGTGAATGGATTATGAACAACAAACTCTACTTCATCAAAGTGGATATTCTTTACAGTACGAAATTACTAACAGTATATTTAAGATAGTAAGTTGCTTATTTCTAAACAAAAATGTAAGCAATTTAGAAAATCCTCATAAAAGAAAATAAGTTTACAATTGTTTACTTGAATCTTCCCATTGATGTTTAGGGCTACAATTGATCAGTCTCTTATGGGCATATGTGCATACTGTGTGTATTGCCTCGATATTGCTTTAATTTATAAGCATTATAAAGAAAGATGAATAGTGGTTAGCAGTGGACTCAGTAGCTACGTGGATAACACAATGGCGTTTGAAGTCAGCGGTACTGGGTCCGAGTCCCGTGGCGAAAATCAACTCTGAGATGCAGGTGTATTCAGTTGACGAGTCTCAAATAGGATGAAACACGCGTCCTGTATTCCGCTGCTAGTCACTATCCATCTTTACTTAATAATAATAATTATTATTATAACCTACATTGCGAAGTAACTAATTTAATTTCACTTGAATGATAACTAACAGGGTGAACATGGAGTACAATGGATTGGTTATTAATTTAATGGTTTAAAAAGTAGGTTTTGCAATAAATAATATACATTAGATTTAGACGACTGAATTAAGGAAAACAATTTAGCAGATTAGTTCTATCTATTTCTAAGAAAACTAAGATCATTATGGGGATTCTTGGTATATGAACAGTTAAAGTCATGAGTCAATCTAAGCTAGAACACTATTGAAATCTTGGAAGCATTGGACAGCCGGTTTGTCTTAGTATGAGACTCCTTATAGATCGATTGAAGTTATACATCAACATAGTTGAATGGCAACTCAGGCGTCTAGAGGTCAAGTGTCCACATGCGAGATTGAAGGTCCATTGGTTTGAGTCTCACATGCAGGATCGCGAGTGTGCACTGCAGAGGAATTCCATACTAGAACGAAATGGCCTTCCACTGTTACCAAGATATCAATATTGTTCTAGCTGCGATTGACTCTTGAATTGAACCTTCAAAAAACTAAGATTGTAAATGAAGTAGGTTATAAAAAAATTTATCATTACTTCCATCGTAACATTATTTTAGGTTGTTCTCTATTTTATTTCTTAGAGTACAATTCACTATTGTTTAATAGTTTGCATAAATTATTAAGACGTTTAATATAGTTTTTGAGATTGTGGAGAAGATTTGCAGCTCAGATGGATGATTTTGATGAGGTTTTGTTCTCTGAGCTGTGTGTTTTGGTTGTGGATCTTTCATCGTTCATCGAGGTCTACAGGACAAGCTATGAACTCCAGGTTTTCAATGATGGTCTAACATCAATCGGTTCATGATTTCAGTCAAAAGAAACTTAACAATCTCCAGAAACGCTAAACTAATCACTTCTTGTATGTCGAGGTTATTCAAATAAGTTCTATTTACATTGATCTAGGTAATATGGTGAATGGTGTTGTGGACGTTAGATCCCCAGAACTGACTTGGGAAAGAATCTAATTTTGTGATTTTCCTCAGAAAATTTGAATTCCTTTGTTTCCGCGCCAAAAGCTCTCTTTTCACCTTCATGTCGTATTTCCACTTGGGAGAATCTTAAATTCTTTTGATCCGTTATATATTTTAGTATGCTATTTTGTAACTCTCCCCAAGGACGGTTTTGTGCTGTATATATATATATATATATATATATATATATATATATATATATATATATATACATTTTGATTTTTGTCTGTTGTTATCCCTCGTTTTCTGAGTTTTTGTGGTATATACTTCCTCATTCTAAGCTTAGACTTCTTCCCCTAGTTAGTGGGGCTGAGACGTATCGAATAGCTAGCCTATTGGTCTTTGATCACCGAGTCTTTGTTCCGTTCGCAGATTAAGTGAACTTGTAACCGCTTCAAACCTAGCAAATGGCAAGTTTTTTATTGACAAGCGATTCTTAAAATGAACATCTAAAATGAAGTATATTGGTTCACAACTGACTAAAGAAGAAACTGTAGCATTTCGTTTTTCACCGTTTTTTGTTATTAACAATTGGAAGGATAATTTTATAATTTTTTAAATCACAAACTGATATCAATTACACAATGATTAAGAACCAGGAAGTACCGAGTAATTGTTTCATATGAGTAAACGTTTTCTCCAAAACACATATTTGTGCCCTCACATCAGGACTCGAACCTAAAGCCTGAAAGAGGTCTTATGGAGTACACTAAACATTTATACCATTAAACTTGACAACTTATTGTGTACTTCTCTGACATCAACCAGTTTACGATAATGGTCAAGTGTTTTCTATTTATAAGTAACTGCCTCATAATCAACATAGTTGAACTTCATTGGTTACTGTTTCTCACTAGAGCCTATATTCTTTTTTATTAATTTGTCTGGTCTTACTGTTCGTATAGGAAACTGCTGGATTTAGAATAATTTAAATTAGACGACTCAATTCAAAGTATGGAATATTACTGAAGTGATTCACTAAGAGCTGTTTCAAAGCTAAAAAAATGATGGAGGTTAATACTGCAGTAATCTTTGAACTACTTTTGTGATAACATGTTAAAATCTGTGTTTAGCCAGTAATTTAGATAAGTAAATCTGATATAAGTATTTCAAAAACTACATCAGTGTAATAGGTAAAGTTAATGACAAGGAATCACCAAATAGATATGCGCAACATAAACCATTCGATTTGTGTGAGGGTCGGGATAATACCCGAGTGCCCGAACCGGAGCAGTTGGTTTTGATACGGGGTCACATCCAGAGACTTTGACCTAAAGGTGTTATCTAAACGTCAGTGGAGCAACATCAGCAGATATAGTCCCATGGTAGCTAGTCACCAATAATTGGTTCATATCCCATTTGTTCCTTCAGGATCCTGGAGTCCATGTGCATCATCTGTTTGTAATCAGGGTTTTCCAACTCCCCTAGATGGGTTATCTTTGTTTACAAACTCGGTTAAAGCGCTGCATATTGGCATTTTGTCCTCTCAACTTCGTAAGAACACCCATGTTGCGAGAAGGCAGTGAGTAGGACTTCCTTGACAGTGGTCATGTGAGAGCATTTCGAGAGGGCGAGCTGACTCTTCCTACTCACGGATACATCAGGGCATTTGGCGGAAAGGTCGAATAAATAATTTTTGATATTTGTAAATAGATACTATGCATAACAATCGCTTGGAGATAAAACACTATCATTTTATTTAATCTGTTATTCATAAAATAAATCTGTTAGAATACCAATGTAGCCAAAAAAATTTATTTAGCAGAGTGTTACTGAGGTAGAATTTCGAATAACAAGGAGGATAGACACATCAAACTGATAGGCGTCTACTAAAAAAAATCTAGATTATTGATTTCCCTAGATTATTCAATATCACACGAATTACATCTTTATAAAAACTCAGTTTGCATTTTATATTTAAATCTCTGTCATTATCTAAAATTTCATAACATAATGATTGTTATCATTCACTGGAAGTTTAATAACAGGCATAATTAAGCACGTAATATGTATGTGAATAGGTTTTTGTGGATATTATAGTAATTTCAGTAGTTGGGATCATGAGTCAATTGACGCTAGACCACCATAAAAACATGGAATCACTGGATGGCCGTTTCGTCCTATTAAGGGGGCTCCTCAGCAGTGTGCATCCACGATCCCGCCTTGAGAGATTCAAAACCGGGACCTGTCAGTCTAACTCTCGAGTGCCTAACCACTAGACCACTGAGCTGACCGGCCGGCATCCAATAGTGACTGGCTTCAAGTGGTAGATCCTGGAGTTCTACTGAGAAGCAGTGACCAGTAGAGTTGGACCAGGTCTGTTGTGAGATAGTAACTCACTGAAGACAATGTTGGGTGGGTCACTCAATTTCGTGTAGTAGTTGAAGTTAGAGATTAACACAGTTGGATCCCGGCCCGCTCATTGGTCTATAGGTTAAGCGCTCGCGAGTGAGACCGGTAGGTCCTGGGTTCGAATCTCACGGAGGCAGGATCATGGATGCGCACTGCTGAGGATTCCTGTACTAGAACGAAACCTAGATTATTGATTTCTCTAGATTACTCAATATCACACGAATTACACCTTTATAAAGACTTTCAATGTGTAAATTAACCCGTTAATTTGATGAATACTTTTCATATCAATCTTATTATACTGACATCATTGATAAGCTTCCAAAAGAATGTTTTCTCAATTGATTACAATTTTCTAAGTTTGTCATAACATTCATTTCTGAAATTTCATCCCTAAGGTTTTAAACATAGAGATCTTAACAACAAACAAAATGGCTAATTAAATAATCTTATAAGTAACAGAACATTCAATTCTAATAACTAATACAATAAGACAAAATGACCGTCTAGTATTTCCAAGGTTTCCATAATGATCTAGCTTTAATAAACTGATGATCTCAACTATTATCAATACAATTCTCTTTGAAATAATGAATCTGATTCAAAAACATCGAAGACAATATATCAGTTTAATGATAAGCCATATTGTTAATCAATTATTCTATATTGATTATTCATGTGAATATGACCAGTTTCTAAATAATATAATGAACTGTGTGAACTTACTTATTTAAAGGTAAACATATTTAGTTGACAACACAATAGTTGTAGTCATTCCCCGATTGAAAGGTCATACAGAATCTAATTTTAACTATTCAGATTATGATTAGCAATGATATCTTCCTATTGGGAACTTATCTATTGAAGTCATTTATGTTTCAGTGTTGATGTTATATTCTAAGACTCATACCAACTTGGTCGACAGCATTCGATCTGCACTAAGAAGGAGTTGACATACATGACATTGATCATAATTTAGTGATCAATCAATTGTGATTACATCACAGTCCGACAGGGGGGCGGTCGGATAGTTCAGTGGTAATGTCTCTAACTGTGAGGCTGAGTGACACGGGATTGAATCCGTCAAGGGTCATCAGTTCCTTCAAGATTACAGTTACACCTTGATGACGGGTGCTAAGTAGCACGAAACCCGGATCATCTGGGTTTTCTGTTGACTACCTCCAACCACCATATTAACTGAAAAAAGTATTACTCAAAACTTTTCAACTTACCATTTCACCAATCGTTCCTTGTATTTCAGGATTATTTACAGCTAAAATAACATCGAATGGAATAGCCGCCAATAAATCAAGAAAGAACCAACCACGTAAATAATTGATAGCAATGGCTTTTAAATGATATACAACTTGTCCACTTTTACTAACATATGTAGTCCAAAAATTTAATATAATATCTGTTTAAAAGAAAGAGGAGATATATATACAAATTGAACTGAAATTGTATAAACAATATGACAAGTAGCGGTTTTTATTTTATGCCCAACTAATGTATATGCAATTATTAAATCAATACGGTTATTTGTGGTGATTGTAGTATTGTAACAGTTAACTTGATTAGTCAATCTAGGCTAGACCATCATGGAAAATCTGGAAGCACTGAACGATCGATTCGTCTTAGTGTAAAACTCTTTAGCAGTGTGAATGCACGATTCCGCATGTGAGAATCGAACTCACGACCTTTGGTCTTGCGTTCAAATGTTTAACCTCTAGACTTCTGAGTTGGTATCTAATGGTGTGACATAGTTTTACCGAATAAGAAAAATAACCGAACTAATTGAAATTTTTTCTCATTGTCTGATTTGACGAATGAAAATTAAAAATTGTCAGGAATAATAGGATAACAGTATTCATCATATAATTATAAATAAAATGAACTACAATCAAAACTTTATAAGCAAAGATGGATAGTGGATAGTAATGGAATCCCGAGCTGGTTGTATCTGCATCTTACAGTTGATGTTCACTCTTGGACTCGAACCCTGTAGCGTTCGATTCAAACGTCATCACATTATCCATTTAACTACTTAGTCCTGATAGTCACCTACTAGATTCAAATTCTAGTTGGATTTCATTTTTGATCTTAATTATTTAATGTGAATAATGTACACAGTGCATAGTCAGTAAGTTTACAGTCAATTTATATAAAAAGCTGAGTAAATCATCAAATGACTTATCTAAATTGAAGCCACATTACAAAAAAAAGACATTTTAAAATTTCAGAGGTCGTTTAAAAATAAGAAAACATAAAACTGGGTATTTCTGCTGAATATTAGGATGATAGTAATAACAAACTGACAATTGAATAACAAGGAGCTCTAGCTGTATGTTTAGCTTCGGTTAGAAAATTCCTCATTAAACGGTAACCATTACTTTAGACAGCATTGAGTATAGAACCTACAGATCGAGTGTAAATCACAATAATTTCAAGCTAGCGGATGTAAATCGACTTATCGGTATTTTTCTTTAACTACACTCATTTAATAATATGCTGTGAATTCGTGACAATGTTATCAAAGAATTACTGTCTCACTTACAATTTGGTCGACTACATAAGTCATATCCTTTAGTGAATATTAAAAAAATCCACCTCTTAGTCACTAACTAATGGACAAACGATTAAAATTCATCTAAGAGTTTAATGAACGAATCTGTTCAGTAAATCTACAACGATAAGAGGTCCTAGATTGGATGAATAATATGTCCATCATTCCCAGGATTTGAGTTGCTTTCTCCAGTTGATTTTATTCTTTATAAATAAAGACATATTCAATTTACATTTATTCCGTTTACAGTTTTGCTAGTATCAGCAATAATAATAATAATAATTGTGTTCTGCTACATATCTCTTAACATTTCTAGATAATTAAAGCTCAACTAACTCATTGATACATTTTTATCTTAGTGACTTATTTGTGTTGATATGTTCACAATTCAATTTGTTAGTGTTATAACGGTTGGTTTTCCACGTTTAAACGAATGGGACGTTAATTTACCTTATACGACTATCTACACTAGATTCCTTCCAGTGTCGATTCTACAGGACTTCAACACAACTCAGATTAAGAACAAGTGATTAGCCTGACAAGAACGTAAATATATATTTCCACACCAAAACCTGACACAATCCAACAACCATCAAAAATCAATAATAATAAGGATAAAGGAATATATAACTCATCCAACACTTGTCAAATAATCAACAAGTCTGAGTAGGTAGTCAACCAATCATTGTCATTCTTGCTTACAAATCAGTTAGTTTCTGAATAAATTGAAATGCATTTTACCTTCTGAACATTTGAAAGACCTAGGAATTACAACATACGAAGAGGATTTTGTAGTTAACTGTCATTTAATCATCAATGGAAACGTTTTAACAGAATATTTTGTGTTTAACTGTATGTGCACGACTAACAAACTGATTTAGATAAGAGAGGAATTCACAAAAACGTGACAAAGATTATGCCTTCACATTCTTCTAATAAGTTTAAAGTTGAATTCTGTAATTGCTTTATTCAGATTAATGAGAATTCAAAACTATTTACTAGACTTAAATAAAACATTTTGTCTTTCTTAGTTGATAATACATTCAGTCAAAGTGAAGTGGACGCTACTCATATCTAAACATTTCGACTGAGAGAAAGCTACAGACTGTGACAAGAAAGAGCGGTACGGCGAGCTTACGATTGTATGAGCTACATTTATGGGGGATTGGTGTGGTGTTTGCTACATATGCGGACGGTTATAATTAGTGTATGGCAGAAATTGGAAATGGAACGCTTACTATCAAAAGAGGGAAACAAAAAGAAGAGAAAGGAAAAGAGAAAGCAACCAAAACAGCAACAGAATTAGGAAAATGATGAGGCATTTAAGGGACAACTAAAGGGAGATATGCTACATTTGAATAACATATAGAACGTAAAACAACTGTCAGCCAATATCAAAGTCACAATCTACAATAAAAACGTTAAGACAGTCCTAATTTACAGAGCTGAAACTTCGAGAACTACTACAACCATCACCAAAAATGTACACGTATTTATAAGCGATTGTTGGAACCATGAGTCGATTGAAGCTGGAACACCATGAAAAACCTGGAAGCACTGGATGGCCGTTTCGTCCTAGTATGGGACTACTAGAAAGTGCGCATCCACGATCAAGCCCCCCACGAGACTCGAACCCAGGTTGCGCACTGCTGTAGAGTCTCATACTAGGACGAAACGGCCATCCAGTGATTCCAGGTTTTCCATGGTGTTCCAGCTTCAATTGATTCATGATCTCAACTGTTGAGATTACTATAATATCTATAAAAAAACCTTCTGATAACAATCAGTATATGCTCACTAGTGATTAGCTTCAAGAAGCATTTCCTGGAGTTCTAATGAAAAGTAGTGACCAGTGGAGTTCAACCAGATCAGTTTTGATATATCAGCTCACTGAAGACAATGGTGGACGGTGGCACAACTTCGTGGATTAGTTGAAGTTACACATTAACACCAATGGATGCCGGTCGACTCAGTGGTCTAATGATTAAGCACTTGCAAGCAAAACTGTTAGGCCATGGGTTCGAATCTCGAGGGGGGGGGGCGGATCGTGAATACGCACTTCTGAGGAGTCCCATACTAGGAAGAAACGGCAATGCAGTTCATCCAGGTTTTCAATGATTGATCTAACATCAATCGATTCAAGATCTCAATCAATAACTCAATAATCAATTTTCACACAATCAACTATTTACATTTTGTTGTTTTTTTTTGTTTTATTTTTGTTTAATTTTCAATGAACAAACATTAATCTTTCGTGATGATAATTAATTAAATTGAAATGAATATACTACTTTTGTAACTGATTTTTAAATTTAATAATTTTGTTTTTCATTGTAACAGTTATATTTAATAATAATTAATTTACATTACGTGATTAATGACAATTATGTTCTAATCTATGATTAGAGATTATCCTTCACAGTTTATATGTCTTCTTCCCTCGTTTGTAGAGATGATGTCTAATAGTTTTTATAGGCTTTATATCTGACTCCAGTTTGATCATTAGTCATTGCTATTGATATATATATACATATATATATATATATGTATATCAGAATGGGTTTTGTGGAGAGTTTTAGAAATTTCACAGGTTGAAATCATGAGTCAGTTGAAGCTAGACCACCATTGAAAACCTGGAAGCACTGGACCGCCGTTTCGTCCTGGTATGGGGCTCCTCAGCAGTGCGAATCCACGATCCCGCACCACGCGGGGCTCGAACCCAGGACCTACTGGCTTCGCGCGCGAGCACTTAACCACTAGACCACTGAGCCGGCATCCAACGGTGTTAATGCCTAACTTCAACCAATCCACGAAGTTGCGCCACTGTACACCATTGTCTTCAGTGAGTTACTATCTCACAACCGACCGGTTGAACTCCACTGGTAACGGCTTCTCACTAGAACTCCAGGAGTTTTTCTTGAAGTCAGTCATTAATGAGCAGTTGATTATTATCAGAATGGGTTTTGTGGAGAGTTTTAGAAATTTCACAGGTTGAAATCATGAGTCAGTTGAAGCTATATATATATATATATACATATATATATATATATATATTTATTTATTTATTTATATATGTTGCCAATCCTCGTAATATAATTATTGACTTGATTCGCGTTAATCCATAATGGAATTAAAATAAAAGTCGAATACGAGAAGAGATTTTTTGAATGTGTATATTTTGTACAAGTGATGATCGAAATGAACGATCGAAGAAAGTGAAGAGAAGAGAGATAAGTGAAATGACGCACAGTGTAGATGTGTAAGCCAAGCATTAATCGATATTTTTAGCTGATAAGAAGATAATAAACTACAGATATGTGGTGAATAAATTCGCCTGTAGCTCTTCTAGATGCTTACTACTTGGTTGGGGTCCGCGCGACTATCGTAACCAATCGTTGGAGACTCCGAGTGAAATGGCTCAGAATCATTTATAATGGCGTACGTGTATACGTTCTTTGTCTTGCCTTAAACTATAAGATTAAAATCACTTTATATCTTTCTTTCTACGAACTAATTCTTTTTTCCTGTATTATACCCTTATACACAGTCTTGCTTTTACATATTACCATCACTGAAATAACCATTCCTATGAATCCGGTGTTCGTCTTGCTGTGCTAATGAGGTGTGGCAACTTGGACCGATTCATATATGTGCCTGGTCCTACGTTGTAACTGACTGACCTACTGACTGAAGCCCGGATAAATAAGTAGGGTTGGGCATGGGGTTAGCGACTTCATCCCGTAGAAAACTAAATCGCTAAAAAACGCTAATCAGAAAAAAATATTCAAACCATTTAAACTCTGCCCTGGGAGTCAGAAGGTCTTTATTTAGAAGATTTATGACTCCTCATG